CCATTTCGTGCCCTGAGCGTGGCTTATGTCATCTGATCCTCACAAGAACCAGGGTAAGTGGTAACACCCCCATTTCACAGATGAGGAAACTGAGGTGCAGAAAGGTTAAGTAATTTGCCCGGGATTAAACAGTTAAGAAGGGGTAGAGGTGAGATTTCATTTCAGCCTACCTGGAACTTTGCCATGTACTGCCCTCATCTTCCCTTAAGAAAGCCGTTTTTAATGGGACCAGTCGAGTTCTCAGGCTTAGAACAGAAAGGCTACTTGGCTGTGATTTCTCCTGCCTGTGGTAGGAGAACCTTGTTCACCTCCTGAGGCTTGGTTATTTTGAATCTTTTCTCCTTTCTCAGGATAAAAATGAACTGGAAAAAGGAAGGAGATTCTGCCCTGTGTGTGGCACGCTGTAGAGTCCAAAAAAGGTTCTGCTGAATTGAGCTACTGCATTTAAGAAATGGATGTTCATTTTTCCTTTGCTAAGTGGGAGGGACTTTTGATGCAACAACTTTTGCAGTGGATTCAGGTTAAGCATTGAGGAGAATCCTTAGTCTGTGACGGGCTCATCCGGGGCGACAGGGGTCTCGGCATCTGTACTGTGCCTGAGATGTGACAGGTGTCGCTTTCTACCTTTTGATCATTTTACAGGAGCTCGGAAATGGCCGTGGCGTTATCTATTATGAGGAACTTTTATCTCCAGACCTGCTTGCCTTATGGCCAAGGGCTTAAGGGACTGGCTGGCTCCTTTTAAATTCACCCACTTTTGACTTTAATAATTAACTGCTCCACTTCCCAGACTCACACCGACTGGCAGCTCTTGTCAGCCCTCCCCCTGGGCTGGCCTGGCATCAGGACTGTTCTGAACGGCTTCTTTCCTGGCCTACAGAATCGGGAGCAAGGCGGGCTGAACCTGAGACCCACACCTCTCACTGACACTTCTCCCCAGAAGGGAGATGGATCAGCTGCCTGGGGGTGTGGGGAGCCCCAAGAGGGAGGTGCGTCAGCTGGTTTTGGTTTGAAACAAGCAAGAAAGCGCTTCTGGGCGGTGTGGACCCTTTAAAGGCAGACAAATTAAGAACTGGAAGAGTGTTTCAGCAGCGTGCGTCCTCTTCCAGCACAGCTGCTCTTGAAGGTAGGGGTTGGAGGTTGGGATCGTGGGCCGGTGGGGCCTGGCTCGCCATTTCTCTCCGGCAGACGCTGCCACAGCCTCGTGGGAACCTCGTAGAGACGTCACTTTGGTTCTCAGCCTTCTAAGTTTCCCAGTGGCGCTACTTTGTTCGACTCTCATTTCTCTCTTAAATATGTCTGCTGGTGAGTCAGGTTCCGGCCAGCTTTTATTCTCAGAACTGTTCCAGTTTCCCCCCTTATCTTTGTCTTACAGTCGATCTGCAGTTGGAGAAGAAAGCCATTAGTCTGGAGTGGGAGGTGCCCTGAGCGGCATTCAAGCTTGCAAATCCTGAGGGGCCGTCTTCTCAGAAGCTCAGAGAATTTTGCTCATTGTGTGTCTAATTGCCAAGTGCAGGCAGGTTTCATTGGAAACCGTCTCCACTGGGCTGTCATGGCAACCCGATCATCAAATGACACTACGGCTACAGCAGCAAATGAGGCTCGAGGGCCTTACGGGTGGGTGGGGCTAGAATAGCTGGATGCTGGCAATATATTAATATTTTTGGCTTGGTCTGAGTCATTGGCGGGGCGGTGGAAATACTGTATGAGCTAATGCCACACTCCCAGAGGTACTCTACCTGCCCTGTTGTTACTCATGGTATTCCGGCACTTACGGGGATCTTTGGCATGAAACAGTGGTAGAACAAGGAAAGCTGGTGGGGTGGGGGCATGTGCAGATCTGAGGGTAAGAAGATGCTTGTGAGAGGAACTGCTACTTAGCAGATTAAGGGAAATCGAATGCCACTGAATTCTAAGGCATCTGGAGTGGCTGCCATTGTTTCTGAGTACTGGTTGTTACAGGAATGGACATTGGAAGAAAGGAAACAAAAGTAGATCTGGGTCACAAAATTAGAACAGGTAAAGATAGCAGAGAAGACGTGTCGATGGCAGGAGTGGGAGAGAGCACTTTACTCGGGCCTCCAGAAGCACCGGGAGCTGGTGTGAAACATCAGGAACGGAGCACAAGCCCTGCTTTATGAACTTTTTTTTTTTTTTTGGCCACGCCACGTGACATGCGGGATCTCAGTTCCCCAGCCAGGGATAGAACCCGTGCCCGCTGCAGCGGAAGTGCGGAGTCCTATCCGCTGGGCCGCCAGGGAAGTCCTGAGCCCTGCCATATTCGTCTTCCTTATTTGTATTTCTCACGTATGTGTTCAGAGCTGTAACAGATACATTTTTTGTGTGGTTTTTTTTTTTTAGCTAAGGCTAAAATTACTCCCCCGCATCTGCTGCCTTCCCATGTGAGGTACTGTTCACTGTAATTCTCAGGGTCAGGCTGACAAGTGTTCTTTGGAAGCTGAATTCTAAAATCTCTTTATGGCAGTGTCAGGCTTGGATGCTGTTTTAAGTGGCCATTGTAACAGGAGCCAGGCTCTGGTGAGCCTCCGCCAGCTGGCTCTGGGGCCCGGGCAAACCAGGTGGCCTCTCCTGGTCTGTTTCTTCATCTCGGAGATTCAGAGATGACCCCAGGGCCCCTGTGGGGCCCAGTGTCTGTAATTCCAGGGAGAGAGCATTTGCCTTGGACACCAGGTGCCTGGAGATTGGCTCAACTGGGAAGTAAAGGTTTCTGTGTGACAACAGAGTTCTGCATGACCTATGCAACTCAGGAAGATGGCTGGTTTAAATAAATAAGCAAACGCCAGTTTACGTTTGTCCAATGAAGACATTCTGTTGGACTCAAACACAGTTGCAAAATAGAAATACGTTGGAGCCCTTTAAGATTAACACTGGAATAGAATTAATGTAAGCGTTGTAAAATAACGTCTTGACAAGCACATGCAGAACTTTTCAGAGAACATTTCCTGGCCCTGTGATACCATTGGTCTGGAGAGTAATGAGCTCTGTTATAATCAAGGACATTCCATTCTGTTGATTCTAGAAGATAGTTGCCCTTGTTTGATAATGCTTTAATAATTGTTCCTTATATATTGAATGCTGATTTCACTTTCATTTGGTATTGTTTTCAAATCTCTTCTCAGATTTGTCTTGTAAATACATCATACAACTCAGTGGTACCAAAAAAAACCCCTCAATGGTACAATTATGTTTACCAACATTATTTGAAAAACATAGTTTAGTAGGAAAGGAACATCTCCAGTTGAACAACTTATTTATTCAGTCAAAATATTTGCCATTTTGTATTGGAAGGACTGCAGTTGTCATTGAAATGAGACACTGTGTAATTTATTTTCGTTTCAGAAGCAATCGTGAATAATTTTAAAAAGGAAGATCAGCATTTAAAATTCAGCTCTTTTATTTATAAATGTGAACTTCCTTTAAAATAAAAAAAATAATACAGTATCTTTTTGAGTTGAGGTGGACAAAATACCCTGAGGACTCTATTTGCCGGCACTCGGGAAACCAAACCTAAGGTCTTCATCAAGAGTGGTCGTGTTTGTTTTTTGGGGTCTCAGAGGCCTGCCAAGCACGATTCATTCATTCATTCAGAAACTGCTTATGTCAAGCACCTCCGTGATCAAGGCAAGGGCTCATTCCAGGCAAGGAGGTACAAAGGCCCTGCCTTTAGGACCCCAGCAGTAGAGATAAGATGTACGTAAAAATAGCCGTAAAGCAGAACATTCTGGATTGGGTAGCTTAAGAGACAGCTGAGTATCATGGATTTAGGTGGAGGCTGAGCAGGAATTTGCCTGAATAATCCTGAGCTGCCTCTGGATACCTCATCGGATCCTCCCTAGTGGATGGAGGAAACAGCCCAAGACCTGTTTTTACAGACTCACCATCAGATCTCTTTTAGAAGGGCTGAAATATCATATAAGTTATTAAAATCTGTTTCATAATGATGTATATAAGCATCAACATCTTATTTTCAGAACCTTTTTCAAGTTCTCAACAAAAAGCTTTTTAGTGAATTTAAGAAGTTCCTTTTACTTTGGTGGATCCCCAAATGACATCCATCTGTTTTTAATCCATCCTGGTCACGAGGTTTCGTCTATATTAGGAAGTGGTGCACTGTAGATGGAACATAGCGAGATGGATTCCTTTTTCATCTCTGTGACGTGGGCTCTTCCCCTGCAGCATGAATCTGACATCTTCCTTGGGAAGGAATGAGGTGGAGGTGGCAGGGTGGCTCTTAAATAAAGATCAGATCCTGACTCTCCAAGACCTGAAGTTTCCTCTCATTCTCACCTAAAAGGGACATTCTAGGGCAGCGTTGCTCAGTAGAACTTTCTGTGATGATGGAAATAATGTGTGGCCATGCAACCAAGGAAATGAATTCTTAGTTTCATTGAATTTTCGTTTATTTAAAATTGAGGGCTTCCCTGGCAGTCTAGTGGTTAAGACTCCACTGTTCAGGGGGCGCGGGTTCGATCCCTGGTCAGGGAACTAAGATCCCACATGCTGTGTGGCGTGGCATAATAAAATAAAAGTATTGAGCAGCGCAGTTGTAGACCAGAAAGCTCTGATGCACTGAACGTTAGAGCGTCCTGAATGAATGTGGGCTCTGAAGACCACATCCGTGGATCTTAAGTGAGGCCCAGGCTGACCCCAGATTGGTGCTGCTGAGGAGTGCCCCGGCACCATGACCTGTGGCCTAGAGTGTCCTCTTCCTGCCCCCATCATTTCAGCCTCTCAGTGCTTGTGGGGTCCCCAGGCAAAGCCTACAGGGGAGGGGCTGCTCATGTGCAGGGTGGCCTGGGGAGGGTCACTAGAGCCAGCCAGAGCTGTGCCTGGAAAGCCCTGTGGCCCAGGGAGCCGGCTGAGGGGCAGCTCCCCTGCAAGTGAAAGACCCCTCCCCACCCCCACCGGGGGCTACTTCCAGGACTTCTCCCCCCTCCCCCCCACTGACTTCTACCCTCACAGCGAAACGGGGCCGTTTCAGGTGAGCATTGATTCATTCTCTACCTCCACCCACTTATTTTTCTGCTGGGAATGATTTACCAAGGAGAGAAACGACTGTATTGTGTGACGCGTTTGGGGACCTTGTGGAAAAACAGGCCAAAGGCTGTTTGTTTGGAGGGATTGGCAGCCAGAGGGTGAAGGTTTCTGGGGCAGATCCCAGGGCAGGGCAGAGTGCTCTGCCCGTCTCCGAAGGGTTAACTGGGGAGCAGGTGACGTCAGTCCTGATCTTTATCCCTCTGCACTCGGCCACGCACGCCTCCTTGCCGGGCTCTGTGCTCATTGGCTGTGGGCGGGAGGTACAGTGAGCAGACTTTTTTCAATTAAGTGAAAGGACAGGGTGGAGGCAGCCAATGACAGCTGCGCCCCAGCATACCTTGGGCAAGTGTGCTGGGCCAGGCAGCATTCTCCTGCCTCCACGCCGCCTGAAACAGCTCCCACCAGCATGCTCTGCCTGTGCCTGTACGTGCCCCTCATCGGGGAGGCCCAGACCGAGTTCCAGTACTTCGAGTCCAAGGGGCTTCCCGCCGAGCTGAAGTCCATCTTCAAACTCAGTGTCTTTATCCCGTCCCAGGAGTTCTCCACCTACCGCCAGTGGAAGCAGGTCTGTACCGTGGAAGGCAGTGGGCGTTTCATCAGTGTTGGCTGAGTGAATGGATGAGCTGGTAGAGGGTCCGCATACCTCAAAGGTCCCCACCATTTCTAAGCGTGCCAGTTTTTTCCCCAGCTGTCGCGTAACTATAGGCAGCTAAAGGGCTATTACGTCATGGGAGTGACCGGCTCTCATGTGACTTCCAAGGAAGGCTGGAATTATAGGGAAGGCACTTGTGGGAGACGGAAAGGAATTTTCTTGCGGAGGGCGGGGTTCTAAGCAGTGCAGGGCCAGGAAGTGCAGGGGCACAGTCTAGCTGCTTTATCTGAGCTGGGGGGGCAGGAGGGGAGGGGAGAGGCCCCTCATTGGAGACCCAGGAGTTGGAACCGTGGCTGCGGAGGCTGGAGGTGACAGGGCTGTGCCCTGGGTGAAACAAACCAACGGGCAGGGGTGAGGGGACCTTCCTAGGCGTCTCTTTGGAGCAGGAGGCAGCAGAAATCATTACTAATTTAAATATGGGGAAACAGCTACAGAGTCTGAGGGGGTCGCCTGCCTCCTAAAGGGACACCCCAACTTCTCCGTTAATCAGATCCTGTGCTATCCCCCCGTGCTCACGATGGCAGTGACGGTCAGATGGTGTGCAGGGGGTGGTGATTTGCATATCCTAGGAAGGAGACCGGACTGAGGTGGAAGCAACGACTTAGAATATTTTGAAATCAGCTGCATGAGCATGTCCTTGAGTTGTCTGTGTCACGGGCACCCACCCAACAAGGCACATGGATCGCGTTGGTGCCAGAGCAACCCAGATACCAACGAGCTTCGTGCCTAGCGTTCGCCTCCTCTCTAAGTGACGTGCAGATCCTATTTCCGCTCCTCTCATAAATCTAGGGTGCTTAACCTATATGTAGTCTGCATTTTGGTGGAGAGCACAAACGTCTGCAGGAAGTTAACGTAACTCCAGACAGCTGACAGAACACGTGCCAGCCTGTGTCTCCCATTCCAGCCACACCCTCCCTGAGTCGTTCTTTGGATCATGTTAGGTGACACAGTATCTGGAGAGGACCAGCTAGCCAATGGCCCATCAATTTCCAAACCCACTGGCTCAGAAGACTTTGAAACCCACACTGGTTTGCGGGTAGTGACTGTATTTATTGCTGAGAGAATTGGGCAACACAGGGAGACTCTAACCATTTTCCTTAGGAGATTTTTGGTCCTAGTTTTGGGGTGTTGCTGGGTTGGAGTGACTCATGTATGTTCCCCACTTTCTTGAGATTAACCTTTAGAACGGCAGCAGACACTATACAGAGGTGGCTCTGGAGTCCATCAGGCCTGGCTTGAATCCTGCCCACCGACTTCCCTAACTGTGCGACCTTGGATAAATTACTAAACCTCTGTGAGCTGCTGTTTCCTTCTCTGGAAAATGGGGGAAATGATAGTATCCACCTCCCAGGCCTGTTTGCGAGGATTCAGCGGGTCACTAGAGGTAAAGCATTTAGCAGGACCCCGGGCACAGACCAAGTGCTTGTGCTTTCGTGGAAAAGTTCCAGTTGCTGAGCATCGAAAACGGACTGCAGCTGCTGAACAGAGCTCGTGTCTAAGGGCAGGCGCAGGTTTTTGGAACCTCACTGCCCAGGAAAGGGTCTTTTAAAGCTTCCTTGGGTCACTGAACTATTCCTAAGTGGAGCTGCCCTGCTTTTCAGTGCCTGGTTAAGGGAGCTGAGGTTGGTTATAGCACCTGGCTCCCCTGAGATCAGAGACAGGCAGCGCCATCATGCACAGGCCCAAGAACAGTTCCCATTGCTCTTACCACTTCTCCATCCTCCAGAGTTCTCTCTGGCAGTATTTCTGCCAAGCAGCCATTGGCAGGGGCCGGCTCTGCCCTGTACCTTTACCCTGGTCGCCCCCAATTGTTCTTGGGCCAGTGCCACTTTTAGGGATAAAAAGAGCAAGCTGCAGAGTTTCTGAGGGAATCTGGAGCTCCAGGGCCACCCCACATTTGGGCAGAGAGCATGTGGGGCTGAGGCCTGGCACCAGGGACAGAGCTGCAGGGGAGCCGGGCAGCTGGCCTGGTGGAAGTGCCAAGCCCACCGCTGCCGGCCTCTGTCAGAAGGGCTCCTCTTGCGGCCTCTTTTTCCTCTTTCTCATGAGGGAAACACGGTGGGCCCTTGGCTGGGTTCTGGCCGGCCCTAGGGGATCCAGGTGGTGGCCCTGGGAGTGGAGGAGGGGAAGTGTCTCGGGTCATGGGGCCACCTCTGTTCACGGTTGAGCAGTTGTTTCCTGGGAACGGGACACCACGAGGGACCCGAAAAGCTGAAGGACAAAACCTTACTTTTGTTTTATAGAAAATTGTACAAGCTGGCGACAAAGACCTCGATGGGCAGCTAGACTTTGAAGAGTTTGTCCATTATCTCCAAGACCATGAGAAGAAACTGAGGCTGGTATTCAAGAGCTTGGACAAGAAGAATGATGGTGAGCATTGCCCCCGGGGGCCAGCGGCGGGCCCAGCAGTCCTGGGCCTCTCCGCAGGGCTGGCTTCCGGCTCACAGCCTTTGTTGTTCCAGGACGGATCGACGCGCAGGAGATCATGCAGTCCCTGCGGGACCTGGGAGTCAAGATATCTGAACAGCAGGCAGAAAAAATCCTCAAGAGGTGAGTGCGTAGCCGCCCCTGCGTTTGGTTGAACAAAAGTGTGACGAAAGAAGGTTTCTTGGACTCACTCCTTCGTGCCGTTCACTGTATTGACCCTGTTTCCGTGAACTTTGGCTTCTGGTGGTTGGAAGGGATGAATAAGTAACCCCTCCCAGAGACCAGCTGCTCCCCGGGTTCCTGGTCAGCTCCGGTGGTGGAATCACAGATCACCTGGCAGAGTGCCTGAGCGCCAGCCACCCACTGAGAGAGAAGACTAGTGGGGGATTTTAGTAGGTGAAAGGCCAGCAAGGAACACCCTTCCCTGCCCGGTCGTTCAGGGGCAGGGCTCACGTGGCCGCCCTCCACTGTGGGGAACTTCCTCTTGACACAACGCTCAGGTGTGCTGCCCCGAAAGGCATCCCGCAGGCCAGGGGTGGTCCTGGGGACTGGCATCATTGCTGTGCTGGGAACTCGCACAGAACAGCCCCAGAGCCACTTCCTGTCCTCCGGAGCCTCCCCAAGTCCCAGGGGCCCGAAGCCGGCTGGCCAGGGACGGCAGCCTCTGGCCCTTGCTCCCCTCCGCGTGGAGGGCGCGTCCTCGTGCTGTGCCGTGGCATGTGCTTGCGTCACTAACCTCCGCTCAGAGCACTTATTTGTGTTGTTTCTCCTCTCTCCTCTGCATCTTCCTTTGTCTGTCTGTCAGAATACGAACGGGCCACTTCTGGGGCCCTGTCACCTAGTAAGTATCCGTGTCACTCGCGGGACCGCCTCCCTCCTTGACCTCTGTGCCCGTTCAGGACGGGGTTCTCGTGGGCCATCAGATCCCGTTTTTGGACCAGGTGGGATGTGGAGCCACCTGGCCTTTTCTCCTCCGGGGCAGAGGCGCCTTCTGTGGTTTCCTGGTGGCCACGCGCCTGCCCTCGGCTCCCCTGGAGGTGGGAAGTGCGGCTGACAGATGGGGCCTGTTGACAGTTGGGCGACCCACATATTTGTCTTGCAGCATGGACAAGAATGGCACAATGACCATCGACTGGAACGAGTGGCGAGACTATCACCTCCTGCATCCCGTGGAGAACATCCCTGAGATCATCCTGTACTGGAAGCACTCTACGGTGAGCCCCGCGCTCCCGGGGCCGGAAGGTGGTTTCTCCCTCGTCCGTTCATAGGGTCCCCTTCGCCCAGCATCAGCCCCCATCCTGGTGGGGGTTCCCAGCCCACCTCGCCTTCAGTGGTGGGGCTGTCTGCTTCTCTGCCAGCCTTCCACATGCTCCCTCCATCTCCCTCATGCCGGCCAACCTGAACGGCCCGCCCATGCCCCAAACACGGGGCTCCCTCTGCTAGAAACAATGCCCTCCTGTCCCCACGTGCTGCCTGTTCTTCAGGGTCCACTGTAAGCACCCTCTCCCTGAGCCTCCTTGTTCTTCCAAAGCCTCCTGAGGGCCGCGCTGCAGAGATCCAGTAGCAGAGCTGTTCAGTTTCTCCCCCCGGCCACCCCATTTTTTGTGTCATTTCTCTCTATGGCAAAAGAATACCTCCCCACTGCTCTTTCACCCCCGGTCAGAAACACACAGAGCTCTGCACCCTCACTGGTAGTGGCCCCATTGACCCCTCGCCCGCGAGCCCCCTTCACGCATGAGCGTCCCTTTCTGCTGGTCCTTGCTGAGTATCCCCTGGTGGCAGTCTTATCCATCCTGGACCATCGACTCCAGAAGAGGAGGCCACAGGTCCTCCTCTGTCTCCCGAGGTGCCCTCAGGGGACGCCTGGCATCTTCGTTGGCTGAAATTAGGTGAACGCTCTGCGGGTAGGAGCCGCGGCCCCGTGGGTCTGGCCTGCAGCCCCAAGGTTGGAGCAGAGCTGGCTCTGCCTGCCGAGCCGGGAGGCCGCCTGGGAGAGAGGGCATTGCACAGGCAGCACAACCTCTCGTGTTTGCAGAAGTCTTGCATAATGTTCTGCCAACGTGATCCGGTTACACATCAGGTTTCAGAAGAATTTTTATCCCTGACTTGATCCTTCCAGTACAGCCAACCTGGTGATCCTCAGCTGCAGTGCCTTTGTCAGCTGTTCTTGCAGGAGCCCCTGGCAGTGTCCCGAAGGGCTGTCCGCATGGTTTTCTACCTGCGTTCTTCCAGCTGTGCTCTCAGTTCTAACCTGGGCCTCTCCAAAGCCACAGACAGCTCAGAGCTTTGCTGCCTCCACATAGCGAAGGGGTAGGGGGTCCATTCTAGGCGGCAGAAGGCTGTGGACCTAGCTGTCTGCCGGCAGTTCTGCCACAAGCGTCGGGAGCCTGCTAGATTTATCGTTGTTGGTCTTCCTCACAGATCTTTGATGTGGGTGAGAATCTGACGGTCCCCGACGAGTTCACGGTGGAGGAGAGGCAGACGGGGATGTGGTGGAGACACCTGGTGGCTGGTGGTGGGGCGGGGGCTGTATCGAGAACCTGCACGGCCCCCCTGGACAGACTCAAGGTGCTCATGCAGGTACGCAGGAAAACAGGCCCCAAGCCACCTGGTTTCCACCTTGGGTTTCTTTGGTGGGTTGGTTTCCCCTCCCTTATCTGGGGCCCTGCTTTGGGCCCATACTTTCCTAACCCAGTAAATCAGATTGGAATTATTGCTCAGACAAGGATGACATTAGATCTTGGCCTAGGTGGCCTTTTGCACATTAGATCCTGGCCTAGGTGGCCTGATCTAATTTTATCTGAGGCCCTTAAGCCAGGAGTCACATTACAGGGCCATACCGGAGGCAGATGACCCCAGTGAGAACTGGGGTGTGGCAGGAACCTGTTTCCTTAGGCGCATCTTACATAGGCCACCACGTGGGGGGGCAGTGCGAACAGATCCTCACCTGGCCTGGACACTGTTCCCTTGGCTGGGCACCCAGCTCCACGTCCACAGGGCAGGTTCAGCTCATGCTGAACCCAAGTCAGGAGCAAGGTTGTGAAATCGAGCTGCCTGAGGACACACCAGTGGACTCCAGTGTCTTTTGGACAGTGGCCAGTCACCCCCTTGTCCCCTGACTTGCGTTCTGGCACTTTTCGTGCCAGGAACCCTGCTCAGAAAAGGTGTCATCCTTTCCTTACCCCCTCAGCGCCTCCTGGGCCTGCCTTGGTTTGAGGTCTATGGATGGAAGAATGAGAACTCTCTTCTGGTGCTGAATCAGGGAGGCGAGTGGTTCAGGGAGAGGAGCCCTGGGCCTGGGACCCAACCCGGGGTCCCACTGTCCCAGCTGGGTGACCTCAGGCGAGTCACTTCAGCCCCAGGACTTCTACTGCTCTGGAAACTAAGGGGTTCGAACAAATTGCCTCATCAGTGTGTTTTTCTTAGCCAAATCCCCAGGAATGCTGTAGAGATTAAAAGCTGTCCTTGGGTGAAATGACGAAATGCCAGGGAGGTGCTTTAAATTAATGGGGGTGGGGGAGGGGGTGGGGGGCATCAGTTGGCTGGTTTGATGATGGTTGAAGCTCATTATGGGTTCATGGAAGCTCATTATGTAATCCTCTATACTTTTATATATGTTTGAAAATTTTCCATAATAAAAAGCTCAATTTTTTTTTTTTTTAAATTTATTTTTTGGCTGCGTTGGGTCTTCGTTGCTGCGCGCGGGCTTTCTCTAGTTGCAGTGAGCGGGGGCTACCCTTCGTTGCGGTGCGCGGGCTTCTCACTGTGGTGGCTTCTCTTGTTGCGGAGCCCGTGCTCTAGGCGTGCGGGCTTCAGTAGTTGTAGCACACAGGCTCAGTAGTTGTAGCTCACGGGCTTAGTTGCTCCGCGGCATGTGGGATCTTCCCGGACCAGGGCTGGAACCCATGGCCCCTGCCTTGGCCACCAGGGAAGTCCAAAAAGCTCAACTTTTTTTAAAGCAGTCCTTGTGGAGGTGTTTAGCATGGGGTTGGCGCCAGCAGGTGCACAGCAGAATCTGGTGGGACCTAGCGCAGCCACGTTAGGCTCTCAGGGTACCGAGCTGGCCTCAGAGTGCCACGAGGGCGGAGCCTGCCTCCCGTCGATCTTGGCTGTTTGTCAGGCAGCGGTGGCCCTGTGGCCGCTGAGCTCCTTCTGACCGCTTGTCCTTCCCCCCCCAGGTCCACGCCTCCCGCAGCAACAACATGTGCATCGTGGGTGGCTTCACCCAGATGATTCGAGAAGGAGGGGCCAAATCACTCTGGCGCGGCAATGGCATCAACGTCCTCAAAATTGCCCCCGAGTCGGCCATCAAGTTCATGGCCTATGAACAGGTGAGGACCCAGCTCCCCAGGGAGAGTCGCCCATCAGCAGCTGCTTCCTGAGCTTCCCCTGGAATGAGGTCCCTGCCCTGTCGATTCCCTGGAACCTGGAACCAGTCCTTGTACCTGAGGGACAGCAGGGCTAGGTGGGGGGTGGGAAGGCCTGAGCCTGACCCCAGCTCTGCCAGCAACCAGTTCCACTGGGGGCCAGTTCCTTCCATTTCTGGGCAGCATCAAAAGTGCCAGGGACACCAGGTCTTGGCTAAAGCTGACAGCCCCGGGAGGAAGGGCGGGGCAGGAGCAGGTATGCTGGTCTCTGGGCGGGTATCAGTCTGTGTGCTCCCTGTTCCAGATCAAGCGTCTCGTTGGGAGTGACCAGGAGACTCTGAGGATTCACGAGAGGCTTGTGGCAGGGTCCTTGGCGGGGGCCATCGCCCAGAGCAGCATCTACCCGATGGAGGTGAGGGCCGCGTTGGTCCTGGGGCGGGCCGTGTGCGTGGAGGTGAGGGTGCGGAGTGGGCTGGGCTCACACTTGCGTCACTTCCGTTGGGCTCTGCAGGTCCTGAAGACCCGGATGGCCCTGCGCAAAACAGGCCAGTACTCGGGCATGCTGGACTGCGCCAGGAAGATCCTGGCCAGAGAGGGCATGGCCGCCTTCTACAAAGGCTATGTTCCCAACATGCTGGGGATCATCCCCTACGCTGGGATAGACCTGGCCGTCTACGAGGTGAGGCCCTAGAGGACTCAGGCCCCTTGAGCAGCAGGAGAGATTCAGAAACCCCCTCCTGGCCATGTGTCACCCCTCCACCCCCCTTTGTCTCCTTCCAGGCTCACCTGTCCATTGCAGGGGTGTCCTGTCACACTGCCTGCCCCTGGCAGCCCCCAGGTTCTGTACCCCCAGGGGCTTGGCAGGCAGATCTACAGAGCACGATGCCCTGGGGGCTTCCTGGGCCCCCAGCAGACTCCGGAGCACAGGAGTCCGGCTCTCAGGGGAGGGAAGGGAGGGGCTGCCCCTGCGGCATCCCCATCCTATCCAGAAATCCCCAGTGACAGCAGAAACAAAGGTCAGGCAGGCCGGGAGCCCAGCCAGCCCCAGGCTGGCCCAGGCCAAGTGAATCAGGTTACAGTGGCCTCGCGGATCCCATGTGATGGGGCAACGCCTCCTGTGTGGATCCGGTAACTGTCCCCTCAGCGCCCCAGTCTCTCACTGCCTCACAAGCCCTTTCTTCCTGGGGCCTGCAGGCCCTTTGGCTCATCCCCGCCCCCCTCTGCCTTTTCAGACACTCAAGAATGCCTGGCTGCAGCGCTATGCGGTGAACAGTGCAGACCCCGGCGTGTTTGTGCTCCTGGCCTGTGGCACCATGTCCAGCACCTGTGGCCAGCTGGCCAGCTACCCACTGGCCCTGGTCAGGACCCGGATGCAGGCCCAAGGTAAGGCTGGTCTTAGGCCAGCCAGTCAGTCCCCAGGGGCCCGTCTCCCCGGGCAGGTTGGGACGTAGGGAGGGGCCGGCGAAAGGCCCCTGACGGGCGACCTCGCTCCCTGCAGCCTCCATTGAGGGCGCCCCGGAGGTGACCATGAGCAGCCTCTTCAGACAGATCCTGCGGACCGAGGGGGCCTTCGGCCTGTACCGGGGGCTGGCCCCCAACTTCATGAAGGTGATTCCGGCCGTGAGCATCAGCTACGTGGTGTACGAGAACCTGAAGATCACCCTGGGCGTGCAGTCGCGGTGACGGGAGGGAGGCCAGCCTGCCCGCGGACTCGCTGATCCTGGGCCTGCAGCCCCGGGATGTGTAGCCATCTCATTCTGTGAATGTGCCAACACTAAGCTGACTTAAGCCAAGCTGTGAAGACCCTGGGACGCACCTGCAGGGGTGGGGGCAGAGCCGGCAGGCCCGCTGGGTCTGTCCTGCTGACCCTGGCTGACCCTCGGGTCCATTCCAGGGAAGACCTGTGGGTGTTCCTCAGGGTCCAGGGCTCAGCAGGACACAGGCTCGCGTGCGTGGAGACAGGACATTTCCTGTGCTGCCTGCCGAATAGCTGGGCTGGGAGGCTGGCTTCGTTCTTCCATCGCGTCCTCGCAGCCAGACCATTGGCGCGGGGCGCCTTCGGGCCTGCTGAGCGTCCTCCCCGGGCCCACCTTGCTTCCTTCCTTGCTGCTGTTTTAAATGGTAGGAGGAGGGCCCGCAGCCCACTCCCCCCCGCCACGCTGCTCCTCTCCGCCCAGTCCGTGGGGAAGGGTGGTTCTACCTGACCTAAGGCCGACTTCCCAACCGGCAGCGCAGCCACTGGCAGGGAAGAGGGAGGAGTCTGGCTTCTGAGCTGCCCCGCAGACGGGCACCTGGATGCCCGTGTGCGTGACGAGGGCAAGGCTGCCTGGCGTCCTGGCGCATGGCTTCATGGGTCCTGGGACCAGAGGGCCTCTGCTCCCTGCTGCTGGGGGGCTTGTGGGGCTCCGAGCGGGCCCCGGCCCCTGGCAGGACTGGCACCAGCTCAGAACTAACTCCCTCTCCCTTCCCGCCGGCATGAGGGCAGTGGGCATTGTGTTGAAGCAGTAAGGGCAGTTTCTGCCCTGAGTCTGCACGCCCTGGTGAGAGAAGGAAAAGGTGATCAAGGCCTTAATTATGTATTGTTGGAAAAAGGGTTTTGTTCAGAAAGACAAGCCGGACAAAAGTACAAGTTCTGCTCTTCCAGGGAGAAGAGAAGGAGAGCCAGTGGCTCGGCCGACCGCATTAAAGTCTGTTTCTGGCGCCCCGGGGATTCGTGTCCAATCCCAACTGGGGCAAAGCGGGACCAGCCTCACATTCCACTGACGCAACGTATCACACTGCTGGGAGCCTATTTATTTTGTATTTATTTGAACAGAGTTATGTCCTAACTATTTTTATAGATGTGTTTAATTAATAGCCTGTCATTCTCAAGTTCATTTTTTATTCATATTTATGTTCCTGGTTGACTGCACCTTCCCAACACCTGTGAGGTGGGGTGGGAAGAGGAAGGAGGGGGCCGTGGCAGTGACCCTTCTCGCTGCTGCACCATGTCTGTCCAAAGAAATTTCTTTCGGAACTGGCGACAGAAGAAAGGCAAGAAGGCAGAAGGGCCCTGATCACGGAGAGACGGTCCTTCGGCGGGTCAGGGCAGGGCCAGCACCTAGGAAGCCTTAGGATCTGAGGGTTTGATCAGGGGCCAGGAAGAGGGGGGGAAATCTCAACCCTGTTCAGGATGGAAGTCCAAATCATTTCTTAGACTGGGAGGGATTTCTTTATTCACCCTTTTTGAAAGACAAGGCAGTGAGGTGCCTATCACTGTGAGTTTGGGGTGGGGGCCAGAGGAGAGGGCGGCCGGCTCCCCACCCGTACCTGTGAAGCGGGCCCCCTCTGTCCTGGGCCCCCCGCTACCCCTGCTCAGTAATGCTGGTCAGCGTGCAACTGCACAGCCACACTTCCATTCACCAGAACGGCCTGATGAGGACAATTTAAATAGGATGCAAAGATCAATGCAAGATTTATTGTTATATATAAATAGAGTTATAACTGGAATTGGTGACAAAGCAAATTAAGAAAGAATTGGAAGTTGTCATTTAAAACAGCCTTCTAATAAAGTTGTTTCAGAGCTGATGATGGAGCCGTGGTTTTCCTGACCTGGGCTTGGGCGGCATGGGGCTGTTTACGTGTTAGAATACAAATCCCTTTTTCTCATGAGAGAACGTGAGAAAGCTACCCCTCAGCGTAGCTACCCGCTCTGGGCTTCTGGACGCACCCCCTCTTCAGAATGGATGCTCATTGTGTTTGGGGTGCTCTGACAGGTCTCCAGTGCCCCAGGGGATAGTGAGTCTGGTCCTTCCTCAGCCCTCAGCTGATTCAGCCCATGTCGAGCCGAGCTGACCCCTCGTCTGCTGCTTGAAGCACCTCCAGACACCACTGTGCCTCTCTTCACTTCACTGGGTGCCCCTCCCCAGCCTCAGATTTGGTTCCTACCCATCCTTCTGACGTAGAGATGCTGGAGGGCCCCCCTGGACATTATCCGCCTTCTGGGAACAGGGAATGTGTCTGCAGTTGCACCTCTAGCAGTGCCCAGTGCACAGAGTGCTCAATGAAATGTTCATTAAATAACTCGACACCCCCGTCCCCATCCCCCCACGGACAGCCCTTGGTGCCGCTGGCTGGTGGGGCACTGTATGAAGCAGCCTGGGGAACGTGCCAGGGGACTCTGGCATTCAGAGGCTGTAGGGAGACACAGAAGTGTGCCCTTGCGTGAAACGCATATACCACTTGTGCTGGGTTCAAGTGTCTCCCCAAAATTCTTGTCCACTGGGAAGCTCAGACGTTGCTTGATTTGGAAGTAGGGTTTTTGCAGATGTAATCAAGCCAAGATGGGGTCATCCTGGGTGAGGGTGGGCCCTAAGTCCAATGACTGGTGTCTTTATAAAAGAGGGAAATCTGGACAGGCAAGAGAGCGCCACGCAGGGAGAAGGCCACGTGAGGACAGAGGCAGAGGTTGGAGTGATGCATCGACATGTCAGAAAATGCCAAGGATTGGGACTTCCCTGGTGGTCCAGTGGTTAAGACTCCATGCTTCCACTGCAGGGGGTGCGGGTTCGAGCCCTGGTCAGGGAACTAAGACCCCGCAAGCCTCGGGTGCGGCCAAAAAAAATAGGATTGCAGGCAGCCACCTGAAGCGAGGGGGGAGGCAGGAACGATTTCTCCCTCAGACCCTCCAGAAGGAACCAACCCTGCTGGCACCTGGATTTCTGGCTTCTGGCCTCCTGAACTGTGAGAGAATTCATTTCTATTGTTTGCGGCCATCCAAGTTCATGGCAGCCACAGGAAACAAATATGCCACTTGCGTCAGCTTGTTACCAGGGTAACAGGCATAAACCATTTCCCAACCATTGGTTGGGTCTTGTCAAGCTGGTCGTCCCCGCCCCACCCCCGCCCGCCCCCGTCCAGGCTTCTCCTTGGGACGGTGGCCGGGTCCCAGGTTCCCAGGTCCTCAGTTCCTTCCAGCTGGGAGTGGGGCTTCTCCAGCACAGAAGTTAATTTTGGGAGGTGCTCTGAGGTGGGTGACACTTGATGTGTCACCAAGCCAACCTCCCTCCTTTGTTCCTTCATCCCTCCTTCCGGTCTTTAATTAAATGTCACTTTCTTACAGAGGCTGTCGCTGGCCACCCTGCTTCCTATGGCAGCCCTGTTCCACGCCGTTTGTTCTTCTCCCTTGCACTTCTCCCCGCTAACTAGAGGGTGGGAGTACCGGCTGGCTTTCTCACTGCTGCTCCCAGTAGGTGCCCGGCACCCACTACATGCTTAACGAATAGTTACTAATCGGATAAAACCCATCCAAATGTTCTATGGTGTGGGAAGCAGAACTATACCCCCTCCCAAAGACAGCCACGTCGTAACCCCCACCACCTGTGAATTAGGTGGCATGGCGAAGGCTAATTAAGGTCACGGATGGAATTAAGGTTGCTAATCAGCTGACCTTAAAATAGGGAGAGTAGCCTGGATTATCCAGGGGGATCCAATGGAGTCACAAGATCCTGCCACGTGGGAGACAGAGGCAGGGAGAGGCGGGGAGGCGGGCGAGGACTCAGCCCGAGGTCGCTGGCTTTGAAGATGGAGGAAGGAGGCCCGAGTCAAGGAATGCTGCGGCTTCTAGAAACTGGAAAAGGCAAGGACCAAGTCCTGGAGAGCCTGCGGAAGGAACGCTCCCCTGCTGACAACCCTGATTTTAGCCCAGCCAGACGCATTTCAGACCTCCGTCCTACCTCCAGACGAGCCTGGGAGGGCTGCTGGAAAGTTGAAATGGGACAGGAAACGGAAATGGCTGGTCCTTAATAAAGAGTTTTATCTCGCAGCTCCCCTGCCCCATCCTGGATTCCAAACTCACAGAGTGATTTCCCCTAAATGCTTTTCATTCCAGTCCCCCCTCCCTCCTTCCCGGGGTGAGGAGGCCTGGGATTTCTGGCATGGGATGGGGGTGGGGGCAGCTCCCACCGTGGGATCTGGCCCATCCTCTTCGTGCTTCCTTTCTGAAGCCAGACCTTCTCATCTCTTAGTCATGGGAGCGCCATCGCTGCGCGCCAGCTGGGGCTCTGCAAACACAGGGCACAAGTGCTGCTGCCGCCATGTCCCCATTTTACAGAGGCAGAAACTAAGACTCCAGGAGGGGAAGGGACTCGCCCAAGGCCTCACGGTGAGCAGGTGACGCGTCCTCGAAGGCAGGTCAGAGGACCCCACTCCCGCTGCATGCTTGGGGGGTGAAGATGCCATGGGTTCTGTTGGGGCCCCTGCCCCCAGAGCAGGCCCGGCGGCCTGGAACCACGCCACGACCCACCTGCAGGGACCTTCACTGAGGGGCAGGTGCTCCTTGCCTCACCTCAGGTAGGTGACACCTGGCGTCTGGCTGCTCTCCTGGCCAGGAGGCCACAGAGAGCCGGAGAAAAGTGGGGCAGGCCTGTGCTTGAATCCTGGCACCTGGTGGCGTGATCCTGGGCAAATCTCATGCCTCTCTGAGCCTCAGTTTCCTCACGAGCAAGATGGGCACAATATTTGCCTTACAGCTCAGAGCCGGAAGGGACTCCTCCGGTTCATACAAAGGGCAAATGTTGGGAATTCCCTGGCGGTCCAGTGGTTAGGACTTCTCACTCTCAATGCTGAGGGCCCGGGTTCGATCCCTGTTCAGGGAACTAAGATCCCACAAGCCATAGCGTCCCCCCACCCCCCAGAAAAGGGCACGTGTTGAGCCGGGATTCAAACCACTTTTGCTGACTCTGAAGCCCTGTTCTCAACCTCAGCTCTGGCCACGCTGTCCCCAGTCCGCATCTTGCTGGTCTGGGCAGGTTGGAATGTAGGGGAAGGGTGAGAAGAGGAACAGCCTGCCTGCCGGGCCCCTCTGCCCAGGCGTGGACCTTGGTCCCTGCCCTCCAGGGCCATGAAGCAAGAGCAGACCAGCGAGTCCCAGTTATAGTGGCTGGAGAGGCTGGCCAGTGCTGGGTGGGAAGGCCAGCAGGAGGGGAGTGATGCAGGAGTGCAGGAAGGAAACAAGAAGGCCAGAGGCCCACCCCAGCCCCCAGGGGCCAGGCAAGCCTAAGGCCTCTCCTGCTGTCAGCGTCCCATAACACAGAGGCTGGCGGGGGAGCGGCACAAAGGGACCAAACATTATCTCCCCACGGCAGCTGTGAAAGCCCCATGAGCTGGCTCCACCCACGCCTGCCAGGGTTGGGGGTCCCCTGCTGCACCAAAGAGCCCAACCCCTGCCCCTCATTTTAGGGAGGAGGAAACTGACACAGGGCAAGGGACTTGCCCCCAGGTCACCTGGCTCCCTGTAGCCGCTTCTCTTCCCTGACTACACTGGTCTGTACCATTTGTATTAGTGTCCTACGGCTGCTGCTACAAATCATCACAAACGTGGCATCTTAAAACAACACAAAAGCAGGACTTCCCTGGTAGTCCAGTGGTTAAGACTCCGTGCTTCCATTGCAGGGGACACGGGTTCGATCCCTGGTCAGGGAACTAAGATCCCGCATGCCGCGTGGCACAGCGAAACACACACACACACACACACACACACACACACACACATTTATTCCTTTACAGTTCTAGAGGCCAGAAATCCAAAATCAATCTCACCTGAGCCGAAATCAAGGCGTCCCACAGGGCTGGTTCCTTCCAGAAGCTCTCAAGGAGAATTCATTTCCTTGCCTCTTCTGGCTTCTGGAGGCTGGCTGCTTTCCTTGGCTCTCGACCTCTTCCTGGCGTCATTCCAACCTCTCACTTCTGTTCTCACGTCTCCTCTTCTTTAGTCAAACCTCCCTCAGCCTCCCTCTTATAAAGAGACTGTGATTACATTTAGGGCTCATCTGGATAATCCAGGAAAATCTCTCCATCTCAAAATCATTAATTTAATCACACCTACAGAGTGTCTTTACCACATAAGGTAACGTTCCCAGGTTCCAGGGATTAGGACCTGGATATATTTGGGGGCCATTATTCAGCCCACACCACACCATCCCCCCACTACCACGTCTGTTCCCCATTAGACACTTCTGCCCGTCCACATCCTTCCCATTGGACTGGTTAAAAAAATTAGGGAAGAGTCATCCAGTGGAGCATGGCATACTGTGGAAGTCATTAGAAATGGTGAGGGAGAACAGTTACTGATCTGGAATGTGATTCAGGAGCTACTGTGTGATCTGAATTTTTATTTCAAAAAATATGTATCTAGAGAGAGAGAGAAGTAATGTGACATTGTGATTAAGATCATCGACTCTGGAGCCAGGAGATCTGGGTTCAAATCCTGCCTGTGCCATTTACTGTGTGACACCAGGCAATTCATTTAACCTTTCTGATGCCTCAGCTTCCTCATCTGTAAAATGGGAATATTTGTACTTACCTCATAGGGATGTTGAAAGGATTAAATGAGGTAATATGTATAAAGTGCTTAAAGTGGTGCTTGCCACAAAATAGGCCCCATTTAACTGTTAGATATAAATATTGTACATAAAATATAAATTATATATATAAATATAAAATATTTTATGTGTGTGTGTATATATATATATATATATATATATATACATACACACTATATGCAGATACATAAAAAATAACTAGAAGGCTATTCTCCAAAAAAAAAACTTTTTTTTTTTTTGGCTACGCCGCGCAGCTTGTGGGATCTTAGTTCCCCGACCAGGGATTGAACCTGTGCCCCCTGCATTGAGAGCACGGAGTCTTAACCACTGGACTGCCAGGGAAGTCTCAAAACTTTTTAAATTTTTGATATTTAAATTTTTAAATCTCAGTGATGGGTCTGTGAATAACTGGTATCTTTTTGCTTATCCACAAGCTCTATTTATGCACAATGAACAATTACTTGCATAATCAAAATGAAAATTTTAAATTTAATAATCTAACAAAAATAGTGAACCAGAATCCTAATCCTTAAAGCCCCTGCTGTGGCTTGCTCTTCTGAGGGAGCCCTCCCTGACTCCCAGGGAGGAGGGATCTCGCCATTCTCACGGCTCTCTTCCCTTCTTACTTCCTGGAGCACTTGGCCGTGAACTCCAGGAGCCCAGCAGGAAACAGCAGGGAGTGTGTTCTGAGAAGAGACAGCAGACCCCACCGGCTGCAGAAAAACACCCCTCACACATCAACAATGCACATCAACTTTGTGCAACCTTCCCATCCCTGATTTCAACAACCCCATGAAGGGTAACTGACCTCCGAGAGCTTGCCCACGGATGGGCAAGGATGGGGCTTGCCCAAGGTCACAGCAAACAATTGCAGAGTTCCCACTTCAGGCCTTCTGCTGCTACCAATGCCCACAGGCACAAGCCATAATCTAAGCATTACCAAGATGGGGCAAGGGTTCCTAGCTTGCGGCCTTTTCCCCTGAAAGGTGTGACTCTTCCTACCTACCCATCTTCAGCACTTTGCATGCTAAACCCATTTTACAGATGGGCAAATAGGGTCCCTGGAAAATGAAGATGGCCCAAAGGTGCGATCCCAGAATTGGCCACGAGGTGGCAGCACCAGGTCTTGTGGCCATCCCCTACAGGGCTTTTGCATCCTCTACCGCCCTCTGCTGGTTATGGGAAAAGGTAACTGAGGCAAGGTTGTCACCTCTGGGGGAAATACTCCGTGAGAGAAGCAGGACTCAGTGCCCCGTGGTGGCCTTGCATTGACTGGCCATTCTCCAGCCCGTCACAGGGAATGGGTCTAGTTAGCACAGTCCTTTTCATCAAGGTGACTTTTCATCAAGGTGACCATTTAGTGGAGGTGGGTGAGGAGGGTGTGAGCAGGCTCCTCTCTGCCTGCTGCAGCCCCAGGGATAAAGCCCCAGTCAGGAGTGAGGCCCCTATCCCTGGCATGGCTCTGCCATCAACCATATCCTCCTCTGAGAAATGCAAAAACAGAAGAAAACATCTCTGTGAAAACAAGGAGAGGGGTGGTGATGAGTAGCTGGGGTCTGGCCTGCCCCTGGCACCTCCTTCGCCAGACCAGGCCTCAAGAGGAAGACATGATCACTGGATTTAGCAGGGAGCAGAAAGGGCAGGAAGCACAGGGTGGGACTGTGGGACGTGAGACCCTCCCCAGGCCATGGTGCCATGGACTGAAGGTAGACGCCTCATCCCAAGCAGGTCACATCAAATGCTCCCTTTGGGGAATTTGGGATTGAGACAGAGAAAGGCGAGTCGGCCTCCTTGAGCAGCTGGAAAGCACCAAGTAACCCTGGGGGGTGACAAGGAAAAGCCTGTCTGTGAAGAGCAGGCAAAGTGGGGAGGGGGGCAGGGATGCAGCCCCGAGGTGCTCCTGGCCTAGTGCCTGCCCCGCTGAGGGAGGCTCTGGGGTCCACAGGCCAACGCAGGTCCTTGGAGCAAAGGCGCCTTGGGACTTAAAGGCCGATCAATGAAGGGGGAACTGCATCCTGGACACAGCGGTGACTCGGGAGACCTCAACACCTGTGGGCCCCATGGAGGCAGCTTCCACGGCTCCTCAACCCACAGACTGGTGTGGCCTCAGGCCTCAGCTTCTCTCCTTCCTCCCAGAGGAAGGAGCACTCTGCAGCCATGAAGACCCAGCCAGTGTGACACGGTGACAAGGACAGATGCTCGCCATGGGAACAAAAACAAGCAGGTGGCAGACAGCCCTGCAGAAGCTGAGGCCACTGCTCCCAAAATGACACTGTCTGCCTCCAGAGTGCTTGTCGCTTCTACCTTATTTGAATGTTTGCTAATACAAAAACCATGAATTTTTTTTTTTTTTTTTTTGGCCATGCCGTGCAACTTGTGAGATCTTAGTTCCCCGACCAGGAATCGAACCCGTGCCCCCTGCATTAGGAGCATGGAGTCTTAACCACTGGACTGCCAGGGAAGTCCCCAAAGACCATGAATTGTTTTTATGTTTTAAAAAAATTAACAGGGCTTCCCTGGTGGCACAGTGGTTAAGAATCCGTCTGCCAATGCAGGAGACACGGGTTTGACCCCTGGTCTGGGAAGATCCCACATGCCACGGAACAACTAAGCCCGTGCACCACAACTACTGAGCCTGCGCTCTACAGCCCGCGAGCCACAACTACTGAGCCTGTGTGCCACAACTACTGAACCCCACGGGCCTAGAGTCCATGCTCTGCAACAAGAGAAGCCACCGCAATGAGAAGCCTGTGCATCACAACGAAGAGTGGTCCCCGCTCGCCGCAACTAGAGAAAAGCCCGTGCGCAGCAACGAAGACCCAACGCAGCCAAAAACAAATAGATAAAATAATTTTTTTTAAAAAAAATTAACAAAGAAAAAATTTAAACTCTCCTGAGAGGGTTGCCCAGTCACTGCACAGTAGGGAGGGCCCGGGAGGTAGAATTCAGCTCACTGGCTGCCTGTCGGGCCTCTGCAGGGCCACCTCAGCAGACCAGTGTGCCCCTCATCTGCTGAAACCAGGGGAACAGGGACCCCACAGCCCTGCCTCGTTCCCAGAACCGCTTCTCTCTATAGCCCCCTGTCCCAGCGTCCCCCCCACCCCCACCCCCCACCGTGAAATGCCAGGCCTGGGATATGAAGCCCTGGGTGGCTCTGTGCTGCCAGAGGGGCCCCTGGAAGGCACTGTGTCCTCTGCACCCTCGTCTCCTGGTCTCCAGAGCAAGACTGGAACAACCCCGGCCCCTGCTGCACCAGGCACCCTTCTGCACACGTGACCTGTATCCTGTCATCAAGCCCTCACAACTTCCCCTTGAGGTGGGGACCACCATTGTGCCCATCTGACAGATGAGGAGACTCAGGCCGAGAGGGGTGCCCCTGCCCAGAGCCCCACGGTCAGTGGGGAGCAGAACTGGACCTGCACCCTGGGCCATCTCTGCACCTCCCTGCTGCACATCCCATGTCCGTGTCCCAGGGGTTATGGGACACAAAGCCCACTGAGCCTTTCACCCAGGCCTGACACTTAGTAAGCACTGGACAAACGGTATTTACTGGCTGCGGACCTCCACTATGGTGCCGCCACGCGGGGAGCAGCAAACCTTTTCTTTATTGTGAACATGACACACAGTCCTGGGGACACCTGGGAAGAGCAGAAACCAGGGGGAGCCAGGGATGGGGCCTCCCCAAACCAGATGGTTCCTACTTCCCTTGCCCAGGGCAGGAGCCCAACCTGATTCCCACCCACGGGGTGTAAACAAGGCAGCCTTGAGAGCCCCAGAGAAGGCTAAAGAGCAGGGAGGCCCAGGAAGGGGTCCAGCTGGTGAGGGAGGTAGCCTTCCATGCCCCGGGGGGCGGGGGTACATTTGTGAATGGAAACTGAGCCTGGGCTTTGTCCCCCAGCGCCCCAGGGCTCCAGCAGACGTCCAGTGTTAGAAGCGAGGGGGCAGTTAGGGTGGGTGGGCAAGAGGTCGAATGATCCTGTCCCCTGCTGCACTGTATCACAGCATCAGCAGGTGCTGGCCCAGCGGCCCTGGTCCCCCACAGCCGGTGTCTTCCACTGTTCCCTCCCTCCTCCCGGCAGGGATGCTCAGTTCACTGGGGGGCCTCAGCGATGGCCTTCTCCACCCGCAGGTACCAGGGCTGGATGTGAGTGTGACGCATCAGGTCGTCGAAGGCCTCCAGACCCTCCATCACACGCAGCACACCGTACACTGCCTGGGGGAGGGGGGGCGGGTACAGAGGGGGTGTCCATGCCTGCCCCGCCCTCTGCCCGGTGTGTGCCCTGGGCCCATCACCTCCCCGTTCAGGGAGCCCCGTGACCCACTGACGGGCCAATTTTGCATGCAGGACTTTGAATGAAGCGTGTGGGTTGGCTGTAGGATTCGGGAAGAGCGGACCCCACCACTCGCTCCAAGACCAGAGCCTTGCAATCAACATATTCTACCCTGGCTGTAGGACTGCTTCAAGGATTGGCATTGAAGTCAGGCCAACAAGACACTGTCCCAGGAATCTTGCTGGGCAGAAGCCTGGAGCACTGGTTTTCCTTAAGCCCTTGACAACCAGTGGAGGCAGATGCCTCTGGGATGGAGGAGCTGTGAGACGTAGGTATTGCCTGCCTGGGCCTCCCCCACCCCAAGGACAGACCCTTTGGTCTGTGCACCCTCTGACACCACCACACTCACCAGATCAGCCAGGTTCGGCCTCTGGCCCCCCATGAAGGGCCGGTCTTTGCCCACAGCTGCCACCCACTTGTTGGCAGCCTCGTAGAGATCTTCACGCACGTCGTCCTGGAGGCGGTGCCTGGGTAGGAATGGGGGAAGTCCATCAGGGGAACTCCGAAACCTGGCCCAGGTGGGGGGAGTGAGAAGGCCCAGGGGCCAAGGCTACTTCGGCGGGTGGAGCAGGACAAGAGACCCAACCATGGAGAGGAAAACAGAGGAAGGTATAAGGCAGAGACCCAGCTCTGGACTCCCAGGCCAGCCCTGCTTGCCCTGGGCTGGGGGAGGCAATCAGGGGTTCTGGGTTTGAGTCTCAGCTTGGCTAACGCTGGGGACTTGGGGAGGGCAGGCCCCCAGGTGCACGCGCACATGAGCGCACGCGCACACACGAGCGCACACACACACGTGTGCACCGTCACCTGCTCTTGAGCCGCTTGCTGATGAAGTACATGGCAGCTGCGCCCATGTACTTGGCCATGGCGCCCTCCACGGTCCCGAAATTGCCCTCCTTGACAATGTAGTCAAAGGAGGCCAAGGCTTCGGTCGGCGTGCGGTACACATTGGGGGAGATGAGGTGCACCAGCCAGTCGTCTGCCCACTGCCGCCACTTCATCTCCTCCCTGCGGGCAAGGGGGGACAGAAGGTGGGCCAGGTGGGCTCCCTGAGCCAGGGCCTGGGAGCTGAGGGAGCAGACGCACTATCTCGACAGCCCAGTGTACGGACGGAAGCAGGAGGTCCTCAGGAGAGTCAGTCACGCCCGTGGCTCAGCCCCAGCCCTCGTGGTCTCCCATGCTGCTCCTGGCTCACAGCATCTCGCGCAGCCTGGTCCCCTCTGGGGAAGACCAGCCCCTCCCCACATCCCCAGGGCCGGCCCCGGCCCCACTCACGTCCTGGCCTCCTTCCCACCATACATCCGCTGGGCCTCCTTCTCATCCAGCATGAGCCAGTACTTGTTGCAGAATTCGGTCACCTCCTTGCCCTGGTCGTTCACAGCCTTCATGGGTGGGTAGTAGGTGATGATGTCTTCGAGGGGCTGCCTTTGGGAGATATCCAGAGCCTCACCCTGACTCCCTCTTCCTCCAGGAGACTCAGCCCTCACCTCCTCGGGATGAATATCTACCCCAGCCTGATCCAGCCCCAGGACTGACCCACAAAAGCTTTCCCACCCTCCTGTGGGTGACACAGGAGGTCCTGCAGCAAGAGGGACTTGGGGCAGATACCAGAAGCACTTCCCCAACAGAGGGAGATGCACAGAAGAAGGGGGAGTCTCAGAGTGATGCCCGTGGCCCATCCTGGAAATCTAAGCAGCAGCTCCACCCCACTCCCATGCAGGAACCTAGGGGAGGCCTCCCTGAGATAGGAGACAGGATGAGATGCAGCGCCAGCCTGGGCCTCAGGGGCTCCTTACCCCGACACCAGGTAGGTCTTGAGGGCACTGATGATGACAGAGGAGTCGTTCAGTTGTTGCTGGAGAAGAGGATGGTTTAGATCAAGACTGTGGGGGGCGGGGGGTACTAGCTGACTGGCCACTGGCAGGATCACTAGGGGCTCTTAATCCTGACACCCAAGCACTCTGCAGAAGCTGGTCGTGTGGAACCTGGGCATTGTTTGTCTGTCCCTGGAGGTTCACCCCTAAAATCGATGCCCACTGAGCTTTCCCTTCCCCCAGGACCCACTCCCTGCCCTCAGGGAAGCCTGTCCCGAGTCAGGGAGACCCAAATGTGGCTAATGGGGAGGAGAATGTGGGGAGGACCCAGGATCTGAGCCCCGCCCACTCACCCGCTTGGCCTCCTGGGCACTGAGGGGCCGGGAAGACTCAGAAGCTACGTACTAGGAGCCAAGCCCTACACCCTGGAGAGTATGGTTCTCCGTTGATTAACGAAGCAAACCCAGAGGGGCTAAGTGACTAGCCCCAAGTCACACAGCCAGTGAGTGACAGAGCTCCACCTTGAACCCAGTCCACCCTGACCTCAGAAGCCACGTTGTTAAGCTCTGTGGTCCTCTGCCTCCCTTAGACTCACGGGTTCATAAGCCCCAGCTGAGGCCCGGAGAGCCCAAGTTCCTTCCAGGGCTGCAGGGCAGGGCCCAGCTCAGGACAAGCCTGGACAACGGGGCAGGGAGGGAGCTCCCCAAGGCTCACCAAGCTGTCTCCTTCCTGGGCCAACAGGATGGGCACCTTCCTGTAGGAGGAGAACTTGATCTCGGCCCTGCGCACAGGGTTCACCTCCACCACCTGGTAGGGCAGGGCGTGGAAGTCGAGGAAGGCGCGGACCTTGCTGCAGAAGGGACACGTTTTGTACTGGTACAGAGTCAGCTGCAGGCGGCTGGACAGGGAGAGCTGGATGAGGAGCAGAGGAGGGCGCTTCTGAGGCCCGGTGCCCAGGCCCCGCCCCCAGGTCCAGGCCCCACCCCCAAGCAAAAGTTTCCCAGGAGAGTTTTCTAGGATGACCTGAGAACTTCAGGAGAAATGCGGGATGGGTGACAGGGAGAAAGGGAGGTGAAGGGAGGTGGGCAGCAGGCTCCTGCAGTGGACAGCCAAGCGCCCATCCAGTGGGCTCCCCAGGTAGAAAGTCTGTTCTGTGTAGGAGGAATCTTCTCATCTCTGTCCAACGCTAGACAGACATCTCTCCTCTCCTTCCTGTCCCAAGGGAACTTCAGACATCGCCAGGTGTGCCCCCCCAGATGCAACTGTTTCAACTTGGGAGTGCCCACCCCGACCCCTTCAAGGGGTGTGGAGGCAGAGCCCAGCGTTTCCGAGCGGGGTCTACCTCAAATCTACAAGAGGGGAGCGTTATATCGGGGCCACTGGCCTGCATAGAGCAGGAGAGCCTCACGAGAGCTCGCAGCATATTCATGTTTGAAAGCCACAGCTGCAGTACCGCTCCCCCATTGTTCAGAGATGAGAGACTGAGGCTGGGCCATGGAGGTGGGCGGGCAGGCAGACACGGAATTCCACTCCCCATCTACCGTTCCTGTTCCCATGGGTTCAGGAAAGGAGCGCCTGTGGGGGTGTGTGTGTGGGGGGTGCTGGTGCTGTGTACAAAGCATCGCAAGGGCAGCTGGGCCACCACCCGGCTTGGGGGACATACCCTTGTTCCTCCGTGTCTCAGGGCCTGGAGTCTAAGGGTCATCAGTTCCGTAAAAATACTAATAACAGTACTAATAAATACACAACCTCGGGATTTGGAGACAGTGGCAGGGACACGATAAAATGTTTGTAAAGCCATCCACTGTACAAGAGGCTTTCCCTTTTCAGTGATCTCCAAATCTTTCCATCAAAAAGTCTTAAAACACGTTAGAAAAACGACTTTGAAACAACGAGAATTCTAGTCAGCAGGCATCAGTAGCGCCCCATTTCACAGATGAGGACGCTGAGGGCTCGAGGGCTTAAAACCAAGTCACTGGTCCAAGGTTAAGAGCGGACGGAGGAGGCGATTCCTGACACCGCCGGTTCCCAGAAGTCCCGAAGTTCGGCGCTGACCCGAACGCCCCTACCCAAGGCTTGGTCCGACCCGGGCTTACCTGCGCGGCTGAGAGGTCGGCACGGAGGTTCTGGGCGCGCAGGTGCCACCGTGCAGTGTGGTACAGCCCCAGGGCTCCTCCCAGGGCCAGCGCCGCCGCCCCCAGGAGCCGTGCGCCCCCCTTGCGGGTGGTGGCGGCGGGGCCCGGGCCTCCCGCCGCCCCGGTTAAGCCGGCCCGGCTCTGCGCGGGAAGTCCCAGCGCGGGACGACCGCCCAGCCTCCAGGTCAGAGCGAGCCCGCCGGGCCACAGCGCCCGCACAGCGTGGGCCATGTTTGCTCCGCCGGCGCAGCGGGAGGGCGCGAGAAACAAAGATGGCCCGGGCTCAGGCTCCTCTTAAAGGAGCAGGTCTCCGGCGCCCTGCAGGTTGCCGGAGTGACAGTGATGCCGAGTGGGGAGGGCCAGCTCTCGTGGGACTGGGCGTGAGTCCTCGGAGCCCAGTTCCACACATCCGTCAGAGCCGAAGAAACACACCTAGGGATGTCTGCTAAATGCCCCGGCTTCTAAAGTGTAGATGTAACTGGTCTCGGTGGTGACCCGGAGACGAACGCAGGAACTCGGCCACGTAGCTCGCCATGTGGCCGTCAGCGTCATCCGTAATAAGCACCCAATCGAAAGAGAGTGAACCCTTCAGACTATCAGGGAAAGCGTCACGGCGTCGGGTCCAGGAGAGTCGCAGAAACGGCCCAGCCCGACCCACAATAGGTGGGAATCCTCGAATCGGGCTTTTTCTGCCCTCCCGCACCGCTGCACCGTTTCTTCTGTGGCCCGAACCATAAAATTTTCCATACACACAGGGGGCCTTAGAAACCACGTGTCTCGTATTTATTTCGCCCACCCGAAGGCGCCGAGTAGCCGACCCGCAGGTGCCCAGCGGCAGGATAGGGCGGAGTGGGGATTCCAAGCCCTCCCGCCCCTCTGTCGGGCTCCTTGGCCCAAACTGAGGGCCCGAGGCTCAACTACCTAGGCTTCTCGGCGGGCAGCCCCGGGATGGCCCCTCCCGGCGCCCGGGAGATGGGTGGGGCTCGAGGAGTGGATGGGGATCTGAAGGCTGGACAGATTGTGGGCGGGGCGATGCGGAGTCTGAAGGCCAGGCGGGCACAAAGCTTCGCTCCCGGGGTGAGTCGCAAGAGCTGGGCTGCGACAGGGACCAGGCTCTGAGTGGGGCGGGACGTGGGGCGGAGTCTCACAGCGGGTGGGGGCGGGGCCCGGGCGCGTTCAGTTGTGGCGTTCAGCCCAGCTGGTCCCGAGTTCCACCCATCACCTCCACCTTCCGCCCTGTGCCGGCTTTCTGTGCTACAATCGCTGTGTCCCGTCTTCGCGCTGCCCTTGCGGCGCCCGAGCCCACAATGTCGGGCCCCAACGGGGACCTGGGCATGCCGGTGGAGGCGGGCCCGGAAGGCGAGGACGACGGCTTCGAGGAAGCAGGTGACCCAGGGGGGCTGCTGAAACGACTTTGCTTTCTCTGGGGTGCCCTCCTGGGAAGGGGAATCGGGGCCGGGATAGGGACCGGGAAGGAACCGCAGAGCCCTCCCATCCCCCCGCCCCAGGGTGGTTCCGGAGCAGCAAGCGCCCTCCGGGGGTTTGGGACGAGCACCTGCGAGCGGGTCCCTGGAAACCGCAGCCTTCGAGAACTGTGGGCGACAGGCCCCGTTTTACAGATGGGGAAACTGAGGCCGCTTCAGGTCACTCGCCCTTTGGGGCTGGGATTTGCTCCAGACACTTCTTTCAGCCCATGTGGAGACGGAGACTCCTAAGGGGCCGGGGCCGGGAGTGGACCTTCTTGGCTTGGCAGGAGGGGCTATCTGGGTGGGCGTGCCGCCCTGCTGAGTCAGCAACCCCAGGCACCTTTGCTGGTGTGGCCTGGAGCCCTGGCGAATGTGACTTGCTTACAAAGCGGCCTGTTGCCTACACAGCACTGCAGGGGGTGGAGGTAGGGGGGAAGGAGAGAGAACCATTAGCTCCCTTCTCCCCTTCTGCAGCCTCAGTTTCCCCATCTGTAAAATAACAATAATGGTTAGTGTTTCCTGCAATGAGATCTGTCAGAATTAAATGCGGAAATGAATGGGGAGAGTCTGGAGGCTAGTGAGGCTGGGGTGTTTTAGAGACCCCTATTTTTTGCCTACCTGGCAGCTTGCTCCATCTTTGCCAAATACAGAAAGGAAACCCAATAACCCAATCCTCCACCAAAATACTTGGCAAATTCTCACTTTGTCTTCCTGGCCAAGATTGGGCAGGACGTAAGGGCAGGCCCACGTGTCTTGACCTGCCAGCCGATGCTCACTGCCCTGGGTCCCTATACGGCCTCTTCTTTAGTTCTTTCCAGACAGGAACCTTCTGTCTGTGGCTGAGCTGGATGGATCCCTAGGCCCAAGTCTGAGCAAACCCTAGGGGTAGCTGTGCTGTTCCCTGTTGCTATGGGACATCTGGGGACAGGTGGCCAAGACCCAGGGTTCTCACACGGGAGAGAGGACAGAGCCTCTGTCCAGGCATAGCCCAGATCGTGCCAGCCCAGGAGCCCCATTCTAGGCTGTAGCTTCTGTGACCTCCCATTGGTATGTTACCCTACTAGCCAGTCTCTTGGGCACATGTCCCTCTGAGTCCGTGACCTCACCCTCCTTGTTTTCCTTCACCCTCTCTTATGCGGCCCTGCCTCTTTTTTTTTTTTTTAATAAATGTATTTATTTATTTATTTTTGCTGCATGTGGGTTTTCTCTAGTTGTGGCAAGCAGGGGTTACTCTTCCTTGTGGTGCACAGGCTACTCATTGCAGTGGCTTCTCTTGTTGCAGATCATGGGCTCTAGGTGCGCAGGCTTCAGTAGTTGTGGCTCGCGGGCTTCAGTAGTTGTGGCTCGCAGGCTCTAGACCACAGGCTCAGTAGTTGTGGCACATGGGCTTAGTTGCTCCGCAGCACGTGGGATCTTCCCGGACCAGGGCTCGAACCTGTGTCCCCTGCATTGGCAGGCAGATTCTTAACCACTGCGCCACCAGGGAAGCCCCAGCCCTGCCTCTTAAGAGTTGGGTTCTTCAGGGTTCATTCTTGGACCCACTAGGCCCCATACACGTGGCCTCGGCCACGTCTTCCCTACCCTGGTTTCTGTTACCATCTGTGTCGTGAATGCCCAGCCTATGGTTTCAGGTCAACCCTAGCCTGGGTTTACAGTTGCCTCTGGGTCAGCTGGGATGTCCCACAGGCACCCCACCCTCATCCTGGCATAATCACCCAATTGACTATCTTTCCCACCTAACCATTTTCACCTTTTCTGCTCCTGCCTCCGTCGTCAAGGGAGAACCCAAGAGTCCTGCCAACCGCTTCACCCTCCATGACTGCCCAGCCCCTGCTCTGCCACTCCTCCTGACCCCAGCACTCGCCCCTCTCTAACACCCCAGTGGGTTCTACCCAAATGTCCCACTGCCCCTTCATCTCACCCAAAACCTACTGAAGAGATGAATCTCAAAATAATTGTGCTGAATGAAAGAGGCCAGGCAATAAAGCATATGTACTATTTGGTTCCACTTATATACAACTAGAAAATGCAAACTAATTTATGGTGAGAAAGCAGCCTGGGGGTTGCCTGGGAGTGGGGTAGGGGGTGTGTGATGACGAGGAGCAGGAGGGAAGGGGTATGAGGGGTTTTGGGGGGTGATGAGTATGTTCACTGTCTTGATTGTGGTGGTGGTTCCATGGGTATTTATATATGTCATAACAAATTGCGCGAAAATTACAATGAAAGCGGTATGTCAAAAGGACTTCAGAGGGCTTCCCTGGTGGCATAGTGATTAAGAATCCGCCTGCCAATGCACAGGTTCGAGCCCTGGTCCGGGAAGATCCCACATGCCGCTGAGCGACTAAGCCCATGCGCCACAACTACTGAGCCTGCGCTCTAGAGCCCGCGAGCCACAACTACTGTAGCCTGCGAGCCACAACTACTGAAGCCCGTGCACCTAGAGCCCGTGCTCTGCGACAAGAGAAGCCACTGCCATGAGAAGCCCGTGCACTGCAAAGAAGAGTAGCCCCCCACTCACTGCAACTAGAGAAAGCCTGTGCACAGCAACAAAGACCCAATGTAGCCAAAAATAAAATAAATTAAAAATAAGTAAATGTATATATATAAAACAAAGGACTTCGGAGCTCCAATGGCCAAAGTTGGAACAATTTGATCAACAAAATAAAGTAGTATTGGATTATAACCCAACGTATACAATAAATATTCATGAGCCCATTCTGATATAAATAAATGATTGAATTAATAAGTAAAGGGGGGAGAAGATACAAATCTCTCGTAGAGAAGAATTCCAAATAATTTGTGTAGACATCCTGCCCTCAAGGATGTGGAGCAAAACTCCACCCTCCTTAGGTGTGGGCTGTGCAGAGTGACTTTCTTCCCAAGAGGACAGTGTGGGAAGGGGGAAGAAGGGTAACTGCAATGGAGAAACCTGACAGTCACCCCCCAGCCAGGTGACCAAGGTCAACATCAACATTGATCAGTCATGTTGACAGTATGTGCCCTCGATAGGATGTGATGCAAAAATGGCACTTGACCTCTGCACTCTTTCTCCCCCAAAACCCATAAGCCCAGTCTAACCATGAGGAAAACACCCTACAAATCCCGAGAGGTACGTTCTGCACAATACCTGAGCAGCGCTTCTCCAGACTGTCAAGGTCATCAGAACCAAGGAAAATCTGAGAAACTGTCAAAGCCGAAAGAAACCTAAAGGGACGTGACAATGTATGTATATGCATAGCTGATTCACTTTGTTGTGAAGCAGAAACTAACACACCATTGTAAAACAGTTATACTCCAACAAAGATGTTAAAAAAAAAAAGAGAGACGTGACAACTAAATGTAATGTGGGATCTTGGAACAGGAAAAAGGGCATTATGTACAAACCAAGGAAATCTGAATAAAGCATGGACTTTGGTTAATAAAGTATCATTGATGGTTTGTTAATTGTAACAAATGTATCAAACTAATATAAGATGTTAATAATACAGGAAACTGAGTGCAGGGTATATGGGAGCTCTTTTCACAATTTTTCTGTAACTAAAACTATTTTAAAATTAAACGTTTATTTTTAAAAACTTGTCAGATTGTGTACTCTGAACATGCTTAGTTTATATTGCTCGTCTGGTATTTGTGGGAAGGTTTGTTAATGATTGATTCGATTTCTGTCGTGGCTATAGGGCAGCTCAGATTGAATCCCTTTGGGTAAATTACAATTTACTGGGAAATTTCCCATTTCATTACCCGTAACATTTACCTATCCATTTAATGTCTATAGAATCTATAGTTATATCCTTCTTTTACTTCTGTTTATTTGTGCCTTATATCTTTCTGTTTTGAGAAATTTTTCTAAATTTCTATCTAAATTATAAGTCTTTTCCAAGAGTCAACTTTTGGCTTTGATATTCCTATTGTGTCTTTCTAATTCATTAATTTCTTCTCTTAACTTCATTTTCTCCTTCCTTCTGTTTTCTTTGAAGTTATTCTGTGGTTTATTTTATAAATTTTTATTTTGGACGCCTTGCTCATGACTCTGCAGGCTTTCTAGTTATTCTAAAACACACCCTCAAAGCCATGCGTGTCCCTTGTTTATTGTGAGCCCAGCAGGGCGTTAAGAGTCTATTTCATGCTAGATCTGGTTGTCTGGTGGAGGGAGGGCCCTTCAGAGTTTCTAGACTGCTGTTCACCAGGATTGCTTTTCACATGAGTCCTCCCCAAGGTGTACTCCCCAAGGTCCACTCAGGCCACAGGAAGACTGGGCACCCCTCCGTGCCTACCCTTCAGAGCAACAGCCCTATCTTCCCGATAGCCTCCCTTTCTCTCCTCGCCAGCAGGGGCCAATCTTGACCATCCCTCGCCTTTTGACTTCTCTTGGCAGTAGTCTGACTCCAGTCCACGAGCTCCAAGACCAGAAGTCAGCCCTCCACCTTCCACATCAATTCTCCAAAATAGCCTCACTAGGCAGGAGCTGGAGGAAGCAGCTCCCTGCTCCTAGTGGGGATAATTAGGAGGTAAAAAGGGCAGGGCTCTGATCACGGAAGGGAGGGACCCTGCGGCCCTGGAATACCGGCAAGGCCCTCTGGACGGGCCTCTCCCCCCTCTCCCACCTAATACAGCACACACTCGGAGGAAACACTTGGTGTGCACTGGGAACCTGTGAGAACCTTCAGCCATGTAGGAAGGGGAACATTGGAAGGGAGGATGAAGAGCAGACAGTGGGAGAAGGGCAAGGCTTCCACGCGCCAGCTGTGCAAACTAGAGGCCCTAGCATAGTTTTAATAGTCCAGGAGGCCTAAAAGATCCTTTAGTAACTCTTTAGGAGAGGGAAATGATGGGAAATCTGTCAGTGTATGGTTTCACTCTGTGAAAGTGGACAGAATATTTGGGATGTTTTCTTAGCCCAGTCTTTCAGGAAGGCTCTGAACAAGTGAAATCAATTTTCTTTTCAGAAAGCTAAACTTTAAAAAAAACTAAACTTTTTTTTTAAAGGTTGACCAGGAATGAAGATTATCTAGGAGATTTAGAAACATGACACTTCTAGGAAGATGGGGGATTAGGAATGGATAGGAAATGTGGCAATTTAGGGACAAAAAGAGCAAGCTTAGAAGTTTAGGATTTAGGAGTCAGTAGCTGTGGCTCACGGGCTCTAGAGCGCAGGCTCAGTAGTTGTGGCGCACGGGCTTAGTTGCTCCATGGCATGTGGGATCTTCCCGGACCAGGGATCGAACCCGTGTACCCCACACTGGCAGATGGATTCTTAACCACTGCGCCACCAGGGAAGTCCCAACAACAGAAATTTAATTCTTACAGTTTTAGAGTCTGTGAAGTCCAAGATTAAGGCACTAGAAGATTCGGTGTCTGGTGGGGGCCCATTTCCACCCATTTCCTGGTTCACAGACAGCCATCTTCTCACAGGGTCTGCACATGGTGGAAGGGGCGAGGAGCTCTCTGGGGTCACTTATAAGGACACTAATCCCATTCACGAGGGCTCCACTCTCATGACCTAATTACCTCCCAAAGGCGCCCCTCCTAATACCATTGCATTGTGGGTTAGGATTTCAACATGAATTCTGGGGGGACACAAACATTCAGTTCGTAGCAGTATCCCAGGACAGGGGGCCCCAGAGGTATGGGTAGAGACCAAGGAGCCATGGGTCACTCAATCCTGGCAGACCCAGGTTGGCTCCTAGGGAGAGCACTCGGGCTGCACTGACCCTGGGGGAGGCCAGTGCCCATCTGAGGGTTGAGGGACTCTGGGCCCAGAGGGAGCACCTATACCTATGCCCTGCGTCCTCAGCCTGCCTGTCACACCTCTGTAGAGGGTTCGCACCCCTGAGGTGATTCTGAGAGTCATGAGAAGAGGGAAGGGGGTGGTCCTCCCTCCAGCCCAAGGTCCCCAGAAACTCACACCTCCCCCCGGCCCCTACCTTGTCCCCCTGAGAATTGGACTACAGAGGGGCAGTGGCCAGGCCCAAGGCTTCAATGGGTGTTCTCAGAGTTTTACTCTCCTCTGCTCCCTGCACCAGGCTCCCGGCCCCTCGCCCCACTGTCCACTGGCCCAGGTCGGCCCCTTCTCCTTATGAAAATGGACACACTGCCCCTTTGGAGCCTGACCTTGTCCCCACTGTCACAGTCTTGGTCGTGGCAGGACGGGTGCAGAGCAGGAAGGAGCAGGTCTTGCTGAGTGTCAGGGCCACATACCAGGCAGAGGCCTATGGAAACAGCGACCCCTGCCCAACTCCCCCGGAGCCCAGCATCCACCCACCGCCGGCTGGATGCCTGGTGCCCCCTGCAGACCCTGCTCAGAGCAGTGGCCTCCAGTCCCCTGGACCCCTTGTAATCATCACAGGCCCTCTTGCCTGCATGGCAGTCCAAGCCCTGGAGTGAAAGGCAGGAGCACCCATCTAAGGGGCATGCATGCATGGGCCAGGCACCCAAGGACCAGAAGCAGGACAAGGGCCTGGCCCCAGACCTCATGCTGCTGCTGCCCGGTAGACCCTAAGGATTTCCCCAGAGGGAGGAATCCAGTGGGTGTCTTGTGGGGGGTGTCAGAAGCAGCTGCCTTTCTTTTTCTCTTTTATTCTTTTTTAAAATTAATTTATTAATTAATTTATTTTTTGGCTGCATTGGGTCTTCTTTGCTGTGCGTGGGCTTTCTCCAGTTGCGGCGAGCGGGGGCTACTCTTCATTGCGGTGCACGGGCTTCTCATTGCGGTGGCTTCTCTTGTTGTGGAGCACGGGCTCGAGGCACGCGGGCTGCAGCAGTTGTGACATGCGGGCTCAGTAGTTGTGGCGCACGGGCTTAGTTGCTCCGTGGCATGTGGGACATTCCCGGACTAGGGCTCGAACCCGTGTCCCCTACATTGGCAGGCGGATTCTTAACCACTGCGCCACCAGGGAAGTCCGCAGCTGCCTTTCTAAGCTTTGCCACAGGTAGGCTTTCTGGTAGGTGGAAAGGGCGGGAATCAGGAGATCCTCCAGTGAGCCCTGGCTGAGAGCTGAGCGATGGGGGTTGGAAAGCTGCTTCTGGAAACCTAAGACTCAAGCCAAATCTCTGGAGGAGCAGGCACCTCACACTGAACAGTCCTTCGTTCTTCTGGGTGTTTGGACCCGCAGTGGCCAAGGAGGGCCTATCTGTGGACCCCAAGAGTTGCTGTCGCCACAGCTGGCCTCCTGGGGGCACCTTGCCTGTAGGCTGCTCCCAGGTGTCGCCCTGGCCCCCAGGAGCCTAGTCGCCCCTGCCCCGGGGACCTCCTGCTCAGCCCTTCAAGTAGGGGAGAGAGGGGTGCTTTTGCCCCAAACATCCCAGGCTGGGCTGAACACTGCTCCCAAGCTTCCAGAAACAAGTCCAGGCGGTTAGAGTGGATTCCTGAGATGCAAAAGCTGTCAGAGAGCATTTGACTGCCTTCCTGATTGGATTAGACCAGGGATGAGGCCTGGGTCCTTCCATGGGAGTCAGGCCACTGCAGTCCCTGGGGAGCTTCTCCTCTGGGGCCCGTGGAGGGGGAGAGCACCTGCCAGAACAGATTCAGAGCAGCCACCGTTCTCCTGGCTTCTTGCCACAGAGAGCCACGTGTGGATGATTTTTAAGTTCCTGCCGTTGCTAAAGAGACCCAGAGCAGGACTTGGAAGGTCCAGCCCTGGCTTCTCCCAAGAGGGGCCTGGCCCCAAGACTCCTGTGTGGCTTGTTGCGGCCTGTGGCTTGTTGTGGCCTCACTCAGGACGTCTGCAGCTCCTAGAGAGATAGCGGGGAAAGCCGGCAGGGGTGGCCTGTAAGACCAGCCCAGGGGCCACAGTGGAAACAAAGAGAGGGGCCAAGGGGAGTCAAACAAGCACCTGGGGTGCCCCACATGGCGCCACGAGTGCAGTGCAGAACTTTCTGAAGCCCTGGAGTCCAGGAACTGCTCCCAGCTCTGGGCAGTGTGAACCTGCAAGTGTCTTCCTTGGCCGGGGGCCCAGGCCCAGTGGGAGGGGGCTGGGCAAGGAACGAGGTCTCCAGGGTCCTGTCCTTGGAGTCGGCCCAAGTCTAGACAGGAGGTCTACACCACGGTCCTCACCCAACCCTCCCAGTACCTAGTTCTGCAGCTTGTGCGAGGTGGGTGTGTGTATTGAGCCGACCCTTCCCTGAAGCCCAGCTGGACTCTGAAGAGGGTGGGCAGAGCTTTTCACCTTTATCCCCAGCCCACCCTGCAGGACCTTTTCCCTTCCTAAGGCAGACAGCTGCAAGCACCCTCGGCTGACCTCCTGCCGCCCGGCTCCACACAGCCCCAAACCCACCTCTTGTTGGCTGGGATTGGCCTGACCTCTGCTCCAGCCAAGGCCAGGACCATCCTTGGACCCCCACGAGGTATGGCTGGGACACGGCACACTGCTGAGACTCAAATCCCTGGACAGGCCTCGTCCCCTTCACTCCTCCCTCGGCTCCTGGACCAGGCCAATCTCCAGGGCTGGGCCAGGAAAGAAGGCAGAAGGCAGCCAGCTGAGGAAGGGGTGATGAGATGGCTGTCACCAGGTGTGTCAGCTGAGGCCAAGACCACACGGAGATAAGGACAGAGAGATAGACAAGGCCAGTGGGTCTGAGACAGGCCTGGAGCCAGCACAGAGAGAAGGGGCCCTGCGTGGGTGTGATCAGAAACTCAGAGGTGACGTCCTGTAGAGACCCCCCATGTGTGCACCAGCTGCATGGCCTCGCAGGATCTGCCTGCAGCTCTCTTTACAGACGGGGAGACTGATGGAGTGTGTGTGGGGGGGTGGACAGAGATTTGCAAGCACCCGGAGGCATCAGGACTCCAACAGGGGCCCCTGAGCTGGGCAGCTGGGCCGTCTCCCCTCCTGCACCTGGCCCTGGTTTTCACATGCTGCAGACCTGGCCCAAACACCCGTCCCCAATTCATACCAGGGGAGCATTGGCCACCCTGACTTTATTTTATTTTATTTTATTTTATTTTTATTTTACTATTTTATTTAATTTTATTTTTGGCCACACTGAGCGGCTTGCCGGGATCTAACTTCCCGGACCAGGGATCGAACCTGGGCCCACAGCAGTGAAAGTGCCAAGTCTTAACCACTGGACCGCCAGGGAATTCCCTCACCCTGACTTTCTATTTTTTTTGAGATCGCTCAGTGTGAGCAAAAATGTGAACAGGTCTTCATATTTATTGCTCATCAACATCAATGGGAAATCTTAAAACACGGAAGAGAACAGGCCACTCCTCCTTCTATCTCATTCAGTTAGTGTTTTTCTTAGGACCCATTCCTTTTTGTTTTTCAGAGTAATCCTGACTTTTTTTTTTTTTTTTTTTGGCTGTATTGGGTCTTCGTTGCTGTGCACGGGCTTTCTCTAGTTGCGGCGAGTAGGGGCTACTTTTCGTTGCTGTGCGCGGGTTTCTCATTGTGGTGGCTTCTCTTGTTGCAGAGCACAGGCTCTAGGCGCGTGGGCTTCAGTAGTTGTGACACGCGGGCTCAGTAGTTGTGGCTCACGGGCTCTAAAGCGCAGGCTCAGTAGTTGTGGCGCACAGGCTTAGTTGCTCCGCGGCATGTGGGATCTTCCCAGACCAGGGCTCGAACCCGTGTCCCCTGCATTGGCAGGCGGATTCTTAACCACTGTGCCACCAGGGAAGTCCCAACCCTGACTTTTAGAATCTAGAATATTCCCTGCAGCGGCTCCTTGGTGATCCAGGGTACTGTCCCTCTCCTACTTAAAATTCTTTGAGCCTCCATCCATGAGTTTCCCCAACGTCTAGGAGTCACCACAGACTCGAGGATACCTTTTAAGGTCAAAGAGAATAGCAGGGGTAGAGGCCCTGGGGCTGCGAGCACGGATGAAAGGGGTGGGGTGGGGGTGGCCATGGGTGCCTGCAGAGGGCCCGGCCTTCGGTGGCAACATCCCTGAAGAGGCTTTGCTCATCTCTACTTCCTGTGCTTTCATCACCCGGAAAGGCCGGCAGGTCAGGGCCTGAGAGGGCAGGGGTCCTGTGGGGGCCTCTCTGCCTCAGGATGCGTCCTACCCACCAGCTCAGGACCCCTCCAAAGCCCCTCCCCTCAGGGCTCAGCACCCCAGAGCCTAGGCTGGGGAAGCTGATTCCCAAGCAGCAGGCAGGCAGAGCCATTGAGGTCCCCGTCAGTCTCATGCGAGGCCAGCGGATCCTCAGTTCGGCCACAGATCAGGCATCCAGACAGCCTTGGCCCTCGTGGTAAGCTATCTGGGAGACATTGCCCAGGGCCTGGGACCCACCATTGCCTCCCAAGGACGGCCAGGCCCCCAGTGAGGAAACTGCGCCCCTCCAAGGACAAAGCTGGGATGAGCCATGGCAGGGACAATTCTGGGGTCCCACGCCCAGGGCACTGGGCTCCAAGGCTGTGGCCAGAGACAGCAGCTGGCCTCAAGGACCTCTCAAAGACAAGTCCAAGTCCCTGCATTCCCTGTGCCCCAAAGCACTTGGTGTCCAGAGCAGCTGGGTGGATAGCCCACCTTCAGGCCCCAGGCCCCAGCGCCCCTCACCCGGCACAGACGCATGCCCCATGCTGCCCCCCACAAGCATGGCGCTAGGACCACAACACCTGCTCTCTGCTTTGCCAAGGGTCCACGTGTGGGGCTCTAATGCCCAGCTTGGGGTCTCATCCCCTGGGCCCACAGCAGGGACCAAGTCCTTTAGGGGTTGACTAAGGTCCGAGGCATGGAGGAGGGGAGGGACTCTTCCTTCAGCCTCTGGCCTGGTGTGCGGCCCCCGGGAGGGCCAGGATCTGGGCTCCGAGAGCTCAGGGCACACACCACACTCTCTGTCCTTCCTGGTCAGAAATGTTCACTCTCAGCTGCCCTACCCTTCCCTGTCCCTTCTGAGAACCAGGCCACAGCACATAGGCTGCCAGGGTGAGCAATTGTCTGTGTTCCTCGGATGTGGGAAGGGGGTCTCACCACACATACCCACCCTGGGCTGGGGCTGAGCAGGGGCCCCTGAAAGTCAGAGATGACAGCTTGTCCTGATCGGGGACCACCGACCATATACAGAGCCGACCAGAATGAAGGGAAGGGGCACAGAGAGAGTGGAGGGAGCCCTTGTGCCTGCCAGACGTGCAGAGCTCTGGGCAGTGTCCGCTCCCCACCTTCTGCCCCTGGTCTTGCACAATCCTGACCAGCGGGGAAAGGGGCAGAAATCTTGCCAGGTGTTTCAGCAAGAGTGCTGGCAAATGCCTCAGCCTTCCCGGATATGGCAAAATATGAATGACTCCACCCTGGGAGGGGCTATGAGGCAGGTGGACCATAAATAGGGTTGCCCAGGCAGCCTCCGCAATCACTTCCCCGCTCAGCTGCTGTAGGGAACGCCAGCCAGCTCAGCCCTGAAGCCATGCCCCTAGGTCTCCTGTGGCTGGGCCTCAGCCTGCTGGCGGCCCTGCACACCCAAGCGCAGGATTCCACCCCCAACCTGATCCCAGCCCCACCTCTGTTCAGGGTCCCGCTGCAGCCCAACTTCCAGCCTGACCAGGTAAGGGCCCTGGAGGGAGAGCTGCAGGGGTGCCCAGGGAAGAGTGCAGGCAGAGGGGAAGAGAGGGGAAGAGTCCTAGCAGACAGGTAAAGGCAGGACGCCCAGGCTTCAGCTTAGCCTGCCCTGGCTCCCCCGATGGAAGCCACGCTCCATTGTCCCACACCGACCCCGACCTTGCTGACAAGAGGACCACCTGGGCAGACCTTCCCAGGTCCAGTCTCTCTCCCATAATTGCTGTAGTCCATGCGTGGTGGGGACACCTTTAGTCCCTCTGCGTGAGGAGGAAACTGAGGCACAGGGAGGCCAGCTGGCCACCCTGCCCAGGGTCGCCCCCTCCCTGCCATCCTCGGGGCTCCCTCCTGGCCTGGCTGCCTCCGGCTCCCACTGGCTTCATCAGTGCAGGAACTGAATGCCCAGTCCCAGGCTCTGCTGCTTAGTTACTGGTTCAGGGCCTGGTTCAGGGCCTGGTTCAGGGCAGGGGCCCTAGGGTCGTCCGTGGGCTCTGCCTATTACAGCCCCCTGTAGTTCCAGGGGAAGTGGTACATCGTAGGCTTGGCAGGGAATGCATTTAAGAAGGAAAAACAAGGCCAGTTTAAGATGTACGCCACCACCTACGAGCTGAAAGAAGACCGCAGCTACAATGTCACCTCCACCCTGCTCAGGTGAGAGCTGCCACCTCCTTGGGGAAAGTGGGGGAGACCTGAGGGGCTGCTTGAGGGTCTAGCGGCAGACTGATGTCACAGTCAAGGGCTGACCGAAGGCAAGAGACAGTCATTCATCCTTCTCAGCACCGGATTCAGATATTTGTTCATTTCTTCCTTCATTAGATCAGCATTTATTGGTCCCTTCAGAACAGACACACAGAGGGTGCTGGGGCTGAACAGTCATTCAGAAAACAAGACAGAGACAGCCTGGAACCCCCCACCCCCCGCCACCCAGGGCTTCATCAAGGGCTTACAGGGAGGTAGCCTCTGGAACTGGGCCTTGAACGAGCCACCTGCCTCAGAAGGAGGCATGAGGCGTCCACGGCAGGGGCTGGTGACCCTGAGTCAGAGAGAAGCACTCCTTCAGGAAGCAGCCATCGTACAGCTGTTCTGAGCAGCAGATGAGTGGCTTGGCAGGGGGGCAGCCCTCACACTGCCAGGGGCCTCAGGCACCAGCACAGAAGCGATCTGGTGAGGAGTGGGTCTGAGCAGCGTCCCTCTGGGGGTGGTGGAGAGAGAAATGGTAGGGTGCCAAGGGTCGCCCAGCCCCTATGAGTCTCTGGCTCCGGCACCCAGGGGGATTGAGGCTGGAGCATCTGTGGAGCAAGAAGCAGAAGGATGGGTTTGGGGAGATCAGCTCTGGAATACCAGGAGACAGGGTGGGACTCAGGTCAGGGTTGGCCCAGGAGCTAGAGGAGTCCTTGGCAGGGAGCAGACTGGAACCTTGGAGGGCGAATCCCCCAGGAGAGGTTACAGACAGGGAAGCAGCAGAGGGTAGATAGGAGCAGGGATAAATGCCTGGGATTGGGGGTAGGGGGACAGTGTGTAGGGAAGGCCACCGAGGGGAGACAGCCCTAAAGAGGAAAGGACAGTGGGTGCTGGAGGGAGGGTCTGAGCAGGGTCAGATGTCCCAGGGCAGACCAGGCAGTGACAGACAGGGGTAGGCTTAGAGGGGAAGACCCAGGCCCATCTCAGCTGGGTGGGGTAGGGACCACCTGCTGTGGTGGGGATGGACTGTCTTGGGCTGGGCCAGGCCAGGGGCATCAGAGTCCCACCCCCTCCAGCTACAGCCCTGGCCCCCACCTCGTCCAGCCCAAGGAGTCCAAGCCTGTGTCCACTCCGGTCTCACTCACCCATCTCTCCCTCCCACAGGGACGAGCGCTGTGACCACTGGATCAGAACTTTTGTCCCAAGTTCCCGGCCCGGCCAGTTCACCCTGGGCAATATTAAGGGTGAGTCCTGAATGAGGCGGGCCCTGGGGTTGGGCTTCTGGGGGGGCAGGGTCCTCCAGGAAGGGGTGCAGACCTCCCTGCCCGTCCACACAGATGCTGTTCTGTGGGAGAAGCCCCTGCAGATGGGCCGGGGAGAAAGGAACGGCTCCCTCCTCCCAGCCTGGGCAGGCTGACCCCTCGCCGTCCTCCCCACAGGCTTCCCCGGGGTGCAGAGCTATACCGTGCGAGTGGCGACTACCAACTACAACCAGTTTGCCATAGTGTACTTCAAGAAGGTTTACAAGAACCAGGAGTACTTCAAGACCACCCTCTACGGTGGGTCTCCCCCACTGCCTCGGGGACCCGGCTCCTGGTCACACTGTCAGGGGAGAGGCCCACGCCAACCCAGCCCCCCAAGGTCCTCTCCAGTGTCAGCTTGCAGTCCCTGTGGGCGGCCAGGGAGGGAGGTCCTTCTGCAGACCCTCCATGAGGAAGGGATCAGAGGCCTTGTTCACACATTCAACGATATTTATGGAGTATTTGCCGGCCACTCACTGGCCATCTGGCCACAGGGAGGACCAAGGAGCTGACCCCTCAACTGAAGGAGAACTTCATCCACTTCGCCAAATCCCTGGGCCTCACCGATGAGTACATCCTCTTCCCTGTTCCAATCGGTAATGGCCAGCTGGGGAGAGGAAAAGGCCATGTGGGGACTACCCAGGCCTGATGCTGCCCCACCAGGGAAAGCGGGGGAGCAGGGGCTCGGTCCTCTACTCCAGTCAGTGGAGCCCCTGGGAGCCACTTTGGGTTCAGGAAGACCCTGCCCCACCCAAGGATCCATGGGGCACCCGGGGATCTGGGCCCCAAGGGTTCCTCCCTGACAGATGAGAATTTCAGGCCCAGGTCCAAATTCCCCCAGTCTCCCTGCCCCAGGCCACTTCCCCGACACCCCAGGCCCTACCATCCTAGACCACTTCCTCCTCACACCCCCTCGTCCAGGGCCACTTTCCCCCTCACCTTGAGGCCGGCTCACCACTGACTTGAAAAGTGCCCTTGTCTTCAGGTGGCCTGGACTGGGCAGGGGGCTCCAGCTAGGCCTCTCAGGGAGCCGCTGGCTCCCCAAAGCTGAAGGGCTGCCAGGGTCAGCAGGTAAACATGCAGGAGGCCCGGGTGCCCGAGCAGATGTGTGGCTGGGCCTCACCTGCCTCCTCTGCAGAACGGGAGTCTCCCAGGTCTGCTCGTCCTCAGGCCCTTCTCCCAATCCCCTGCCCCAGCCCCCCAGCCCTGAAGGGAACCCCCAGATATGCCTTTGCTGGGCCAGGCTGGGGCCTGGGGTGCCCAGGGGCAGTGCAGGGGTCCCAGTGGGCAGGGGTCATACACACACACACCTGCCCATTCTGACAGACTCTCTCCCCCACAGACAAGTGCATCGATGACCAGTGAGGGTGCAGTGAGTATGGCTGGGGAGGGGGCTGATGGGAGCCAGGGTGCAGGCCTGCCTTTGCCCCCCCTGCCCAGGACTGCTGTTGTCTCTACTTCCCCGTCTCCCTCTCAGGTGCCTCCTGTCTCTCTGCTCCCATCACCCTCCTGTCAGCCTTTGCCCGGCTTGGTGCCCAGCTGTCCCCACCAGTCCAGACACCGGTGACAGGAGAGAGTCCAGAGACCCTTCTCATGGCACTGCCCACCAGCTGCTCTCCGAAGCCCCACCTTGCCTGCTAAATAAACACATGCCCCGGTCCCCAATCTGTGCTCCTTGATCCCTGGGCCACCTGGGAGGAGGACAGGCAAAGGATGGGCTCACATTAGCATCACTCCTGGACCCCCCTGTGGTCCTCAGCAAGTGATGGCGGCCACAGAACCCATGGCCAGCTACGGCTGGACACTTCCTAGCTCTCCACCCACCCCCACCCCACCCCCAGGCCCGTCCCTGCCTTTGAGGGATGCCTGGTCCAACAGAAACACTGATGGGGCCACACCTCATTCCCACACTCGATTACCTGCAGTGGGTGCCACAGGAGAGGCCCAGCCAGGGCCGGGGAGCTGGATGGGGGATGCGAGGGCTGAGGTGCTGTCACCCCCAACTCACCAGGACTCCCGTGGATGCTGGAAGACAGCAGCCAGGGCAGGAGGGGTGCACGGTGGGTGGGGCAGAGGCATGCCCAGCTTGAGGGTCGCCAGGGGTGGTCCCCTGCCCCTAGGGGGTGGCAGTGTCCATGCTGACCCCATTCAGCATCTCGTCCTCACCCACACCTCTCCTCTATGATGACCTCCAGACCACCAGGGGCAGAGCCGGGGATGGCAGGGAGGGGAATACGCTGCCAGGAATTCAGATTCCAGGAGACTCGAGGGCTCCAGACCTGTACCCTCCGCTTGGCTGGGCCCAGCAAGCCCTTGTTCACCCACAGGCCGCAGCTGGAGCCCCTCCCTGTCTGCACCACACACAGGAACCCCCTCCCTGGCCTCTTCTTCCATTGCAAGGTTAGAGGTCAGAGAGGGTGGGGTTCTGAAGAAACCCAGGCTTCTCCACCCACAAACTTGCACACCTACCCCTTCACCCTCGGCTGGGGGAAGGGGAGATACTGGAGCTGTGATAATCCTGGATAATCTCTCTATCTCAAAGGCTCAGTGTAAGCAAGTCTGCAAAGGCCCCTTTCCCAAATAAGGCACCATTCACTGGTCCCAAGCGCTAGGACCCAGATCTCTTCGGGGACTGTTACTCAGCCTCTTCCACACGGGGCTTGCAGAGGGGGTGATGGCAGCTCACCATCACCATCACTTGTGAGATGAGGGGTGAGAGGCGAACAGCGATGCCAGAGGCGGGGCAGCACCAAAGCACGCCCCCTCCCCCCATCAGGGCTGGCTGGGGTAGTGGCTGTTTTGTCCTGTGGTCTGCTATGTGGACCTTGACCACAGGAGTGGGGTGGGCAGAGTCCAGGTTCGCTTTGGCTTCTGGGAACAGAGAAGGGGCCGGCCAGGTAGGGGCCTCACCACATGTGCCACCCAGCTCTCCATCCTCCCACCCTCACTCAGCCACTTGAGGGATGAGGCTTTGGCCGGGCTCTCCTCTCCTCTCCTCCCGCCTGCCTCCCTCTGCCCACACCGCTAGCCCCAGGCCCCGGGCACACGCTCAGGCCCAGGAGAAAGGCCACTCCTTGAATGCCATGGTGGGGTCCTGCTGGGGGCTGTGCAGCGTCCTGCGGACCCTGCCCAGTTCTCTGTGGAGTCTGACTTTCAACCGGATAAGCTAAGTGACTCCCCTGCCTGGTCCCCACAATGGGACAGGCACCTCGGGGTCAGGGAGGGGGTACTCTCTGGGGCTGCATTGTCTCCTTGAGAAAGAGAGGAGCTGAGCGGGGTCAACACTTGGCAGAGGTGTGAGCAGGGCTGAGAAAGGAGGGCTGGCTGATCAGTGAGAGGCCCTCCCTGAGACCCTGGCATTTCACTAAGACAGAAGAGCCCTGTGTCCTCTGACGGAAGCAGAAACACCTGTGTCTGTGTAGCACACAAGTGCGCAGAGACATGGCAGAAACACAGGTCACATATGTGGACATGCTGACACAATCCAAACATGTTTAACCCTACAAGCATAGGACACCCAAAGAAAAGCACAGGCACATGTTTTCTCCCAGTTATGAAATCACACCTGAGATCACAGGACCCCACAGACGAGGGGAGAAACACAAAGACTCCCAGGCACACAGGGACAGGCAACAGACCCTCAGAGAGACATACAGGTTCTCAGAAACATGCCGAGGCATGTACAGATACACACCACACAGACATAGCAGTTGGATGCGAGCGCTCATGCATGCAGCCTGCACGGGGATGCCTGATGCACGTGTCCACCCATCAGAGCACCTGGCTACCCCCGGGGTGCACTCCCATCACCCTCCCGAAGCCAAAGACTCATCTCTCTCCAGGAATGGCCCAGGTGCTGTCTGCCACCTGTTCCATCCATGGGCCTAGTACCTTTTTTTTTTTTTTTGGCAGAAAATTTCAACTTTATTTGGCCAATGTGTCCAGTTCCAGGTAGTGGGAAGAAATACTAGAAATATTGTGGTTGCCCCAGGTGGTGGGAAGTAAGTAGATGCCTGGCTGGAGGAGGGCAGCTGGGGGGATGGGAGGAAGGGTACCCACCCATTATAGTCAAGGAGGGTCAGCTGACCTGGGTGAGGGTTTTTTCACTGCAATCCTTCCTGCACTGGTTCAGCATGGGCCTCGCCTCCACTCAACCTGCTTCATAGAGAAGGTGGGGCTGCCGTTATCCAAGTCAGTGGTGGCTCACGTTCCTCAGTGAAACAGTAAGGCAGCTCCTGGGACAGAGAGGATCCCTTCCCATTGTCATCATCGGGGAACATGGCTCGGTCTGACCGCCACCCAGGGATGGCCTGCTCTCAGGAACTACCAGTGTGAGACCAGCACCAGGCTGCAGCAGCCATGTGGCCTCCTTCAGGAGGCCCAGCTACAGGAGTCCCAGTAAGTGAGCCCCTCTCCCCTGGATATGGGCCTCACTCAGCGGTATCCCTGGCCAAGATCACACCCCTGGTTCCAGCTCAGGAGCGACACTTTGCGGCTGTGTAACTTTGGGCAGGGCCCCCTTTCCCAGCTGGTAAAAAGGATGGGGTATGACGGCAGCTGGGCAGACTATCCCGAAGCCTTCCTTGACTGACAGCCACAAGCTGCACTCTGCTGACCGTGACTCTCAAGTAGGCTGTGAACGGATATCTTCCCTACACACTGGGGGCCTCAGAAACAACTCGTCTCAGATTTCTCCCATGCAGAGGCGCCGGCTAGCTTACCCGCAGGTCCCCAGCAGCAGGATGGGGCAGAGTGGGGGGGTCCCAGGCTGCCCTGCCCTTGTGCCGGGTTGCTCGACCTGAGGGCCGAGGCCCCGCCGCCTAAGATTCTCATGGGGTGGCCCAACCCTAAGATTCTCATGGGGTGGTCCAACCCGGCCGCCGGGAGAGAGGCGGGCCCGGGGACCGGCGGAAGTGGGCGGAGCTCGACTGTGAGGCAGGGTGTGGGCGGGGCTCGAGTGTGGGGGCGGAGTCTTACGGACGGGAGGGGATGGGGTTCTGGCGGAGGGGCAGGGCGGAGCTCTGGCCGCCGGGCTCCGCCTTGGGGGCGGGGTCCCGGCCTACTGGGCGCGTTCCGCCGCGGCGTTCCGCCCTTCCGGCCCCGAGTTCCATCCACCGCCTCCCTCTTCCGCCCCGCGCCGGTTGTCGGCGCGACCGTTGCCGCGATCAGTCGTCGTGCTGCCCTTGCGGCTCCCGAGCCCACAATGTCGGGCCCCAACGGGGACCTGGGCATGCCGGTGGAGGCGGGCGCGGAAGGCGAGGACGACGGCTTCGAAGAAGCAGGTGACGCAGGGGGGCTGCTGAAACGACTTTGCTTTCTCTGGGGTGCCCTCCTGGGAAGGGGAATCGGGGCCAGGATAGGGACCGGGCAGGAACCGCAGAGCCCTCCCATCCCCCCGCCCCAGGGGGTTCCGGAGCAGCAAGCGCCCTCCGGGGGTTTGGGACGAGCACCTGCGAGCGGGTCCCTGGAAACCGCAGCCTTCGAGAACTGTGGGCGACAGGCCCCGTTTTACAGATGGGGAAACTGAGGCCGCTTCAGGTCACTCGCCCTTTGAGATTGGGATTTGCTCCAGACACTTCTTTCAGCCCATGTGGAGATGGAGACTCCTAAGGGGCCGGGGCCGGGAGTGGACCGTCTTGGCTTGGCAGGAGGGGCTATCTGGGTGGGCGTGCCGCCCTGCTGAGTCAGCAACCCCAGGCACCTTTGCTGGTGTGGCCTGGAGCCCTGGCGAATGTGACTTGCTTACAAAGCGGCCTGTTGCCTACACAGCACTGCAGGGGGTGGGGGTAGGGGGGGAAGGAGAGAGAACCATCAGCTCCCTTCTCCCCTTCTGCAGCCTCAGTTTCCCCATCTGTAAAATAACAATGATGGTTAGTGTCTCCCGCATTGAGATGTATCAGGATTAAATGAGAAAGTGAATGGAAAATAGTAGACTTCAAGCATTCAAGTGTTCTGCATGCAAGTGTTCTGTAAATGGTTATTATTCCCTTTAGTGTAATAAAATTTAGTTTATTAACAGAGGGCAGGACTTAGTAAATGTGGGGTAAGTTTGGAGTCTGCTTTTGGTTTTGTTTTGGGTAACAGCTTTATTAAGCTATAATTCACACACTGTACAATTTACCCATTTAAACTGTACGATTCAGTGGGTTTTAGGATATTCACAGAGTTGTGCAACCATCACCACAATAGTTTTAAAGCACTTCATCACTCAAGGTCTGCATTTAATAAAGAGGTAGAGTAAGTGGGGTAAGTGGTGGGCTGCCCGGTTTGCCTGGGGCACTGCTGGTGAACAAAGGCCAGGTGTGGTAATCACGCTGGCAGCTGTGCTGGGGGCATCTGGAAGGGTCTCCCAGGAGTCACACTGAGTGGAAGTTGGCAGATTCACAGGACTTAGGGCATTGGGGAGGAGGGTGTCCCCGATGGAAGGCAAAAACTTGGAACCGGGAGGTACCCGTGACACTTGACGCAGACAAAGCCTAGCCCCAGTAGCGGAGAGAGCTGCCTCCCCCGTCTTTCTCCCCATTTGTGTCTCTTGACCGGAATGTGAAATGTTGATAATCGCGACCATCTACTAAGTGCTTGCTGTGGCCAGACCCTGAGTTCTTGATATATGTATTTGAATCTTCACAATAACCCAGTTCTCATTCCCTTTTTCCAGAA